CGGTCACTCGCGAGTCCCCCGGCTCCGCCGCCTTCGCTAGCGCTCCAATGGTGGGTAAGATGGGGTGGCGCAGCTGCTGCAGGAAGAACATGACCAGGCAGGTCAGCGAGAAGTTGCTGATCCAGCGACCGGGGGAGGGATTTGTTAGGCCGCTGGTCTGCGCCCAGCGCCGGATGCTAAACGTCAGCGGACGCACGCGCGGATCCATTTCGCCGAACATGTACAGCAGCTCCGACATGTAGAAACCAGTGCTGGAAGAGGGATTCCGTTTTTAAGCCATAAGGTGTTACTAAATTGCAATGAAGGCAAACTGGTGAAAACCGGGCATTATTATTAGTTCACAAACGAAACGGATTAGTTCCAATATAGCTTTGTATCTTAGGCCATAAACACTTTGTCAGTATTTCAATACAAGATAGTGGAGACCATGTTATGGATTTTGAAATACGAACAACGAATGTTTTATACGCAAACAACAAAATGCAGTCTTTGTTTGGAAAAGGATATCAATTAAAATATTAAGGTATTTGTGAATCTAAAGTGGGTGGGGCCACTGTTATTGAGCAAATCTAGGGTGTGGAGGCCGGAGAACTCGCCGGATGTAAGTGCAGCGGGGAGCTTATCAGGGGTGAATCATGGCCATTGGCACGCCAGGAAAGTCTAGCCCGCGGGAGAGTACTGATTCACCTGCTCCGACGCGAGAGCGCAATGGTATTTACACGGCATTTGGCAATCGCCACCTGCCACTATCTAATCTTATCGAGCTGGCGAAGCTTTCTTATCTAAGGCCGCTCTCACTGCTCGACTGTACGCCCCAACGCACTGGATGTTGTCATCACCACGTATCTGGTCAAAACTATTTTAACGAACGAACCTAACAGATCTCTGTTCTGGTCCCGCTACTGAGCAACCTATTTTTCTGCTGACCCCCGAAAATCGACAAAAACAAGGGTAATCCTAGTGAATGTGTATAGAAATTCAAAGTGATACATACAAAATTTAAGGAGAACCTCTATTTTTTTAAAGTGCTGTCCAAAAAGTGTTGCAATTTGGTTCGAAAACCATAAACAGAATATATTTTCCAATTTGAAAGGGTTTATAAGTCCTCTTTCAATTCATAAATGCATTTAAGAGTTTTCCAAGTGTTCCGTAAATCAAGCCTTTTCCCCTTTTCTCGGATTGTTGGGTGTTGCAATTGTTCGTATTAATCATATAGTGCGTGGCTGATAACGCTATTTGCTAAACACTGTTCCGATAGGGCCAACAGTGATACCAAGAGAGGCACCATAAATGCCATCCAACATCGTGATTAATAAACGCGACCATTTCGAGCTTTTGGTATGTGACTCAAGGCAGGAGTCATGAAAAGTTAATAAAGGATATATATAATGTATAGTGCATTGCTGGGCTCACTCTGTAATCACCTCCACCCTTGCTTAGTTTACTTTCATTCGCGTTAACGGATATAATCGTCTTGGCTCAAACTCTGCCATAATCCATTCAATTATGTACTTTTATCAGAAAGTTATTAATGAAGAGTTTTCAAGATTCATTCGACTCCAACAGTTTTTGTTCGTTATAAGGAGTCCTTTGTTAGGAAATCCCACTGAATGGGAAATATCGTGGAGATTCCTATCTTTATACACTGTTTTATCGGTAGAATCATTTGACCATAACAGGTTTGGTAGGGAATCCGTGTGTATCTTTAAGTTAAAACTCCATAAAATGGGAAATTATCCCTTAATGACCATTCTTCTTCTGTATTTATTCAGCTTCCTGAACCATGGGTATCGGCTATGGCGCCTCAAACGAACAGCTGGAGAAGCAGATCGGCTGCGTGAAGTACACGCTTTTCTGCTTCAACATCGTGGCATGGATGATAGCGACGGCGCTGTTTGCCCTGACGGTCTGGCTGAGGGCTGAGCCCGGCTTCAACGACTGGCTGCGCATCCTGGAGGCGCAGTCCTTCTACATCGGCGTCTACGTCCTCATCGGCATCAGCATCGTGATGATGGCGGTCAGCTTCCTCGGCTGCCTGAGTGCGCTGATGGAGAACACCCTGGCGCTGTTCGTGTTCGTGGGCACCCAGGTGTTCGGGTTTATTGCCACGGTGGCCGGATCGGCGGTCCTCATGCAGTTCAGCACCATACACTCCAGCCTGCAGCCGCTGCTGAATGTGTCGCTGCGCGGCTTTGTGGCCACCTCCGAGTACACCTACTCCAACTACGTGCTGACCATGATCCAGGAGAACATCGGCTGCTGCGGGGCCCCCGGGCCGTGGGACTACCTCGACCTGCGCCAGCCGCTGCCGAGCTCCTGCCGCGACACCGTCAGCGGCAACGCCTTCTTCAACGGCTGCGTGGACGAGCTGACCTGGTTCTTTGAGGGCAAGGCCAGCTGGATAGTGGCCCTGGCCATGACTCTTGGCCTGCTCAACGTTATCTGCGCCGTGATGAGCTTCGTCCTCGTGCAGGCGGTCAAGAAGGAGGATGAACAGGCCAAAAACTACCGCCGCTGAAAATGCCCAGCCTAGTTAACTTAGTTAGTAGCGACAATCGACCCTGCGATAGATCTAAGAATTCATACCCAGTTCGAACAATAAGTACAATAAAGATTGCGACCCCTACACGGAAATGATTTTTGTGGGGATGGGGAAGTCGTATAGAGATTGGAAACGAAAAAGAAACGCTACAGTCAAATGACCCGACTATTGGATACACGTTGCTTAGCTTACAAAATTCAAAATAAATATGCCCCCAGAAAACAATTGGGTCTAAGGTGGCGCCATTGGCCTCTACCATGTCTCAGCGTGCCATGACAGACTTTTGCGATTTGCAAGGAAAGGGGAGGGCGTGACCAGAATAGATTCCGAGATTTTGTCGGAAACGCTACCTTCTACCTATTACCTATTTCAACGACTACAACATACCTTTTTACTATATGAGTAGCGGGTGTAAACATTTTGTTTCACAACGGTCAGACGGGAATAAGTACTCACAGGTTGCTCATGGACAGGTCCACCTCCAGGTCCAGGTGCTCGTGTCGGTACTTGATTATGGGCACCCTTGCCTGCAGGATGCGGCGCACATGGCAAACGCCCGGCAGGAACAGGTGCAGCATGTCTCCGAAGCACTCCATGTGTCGCTGGGTCTGCGAGCGACCGTTGCTCAGGTTCTCCTTGGTGTGGTAGACCAGCCGAGAGGGCTCCGCCGACGCCTCCAGCGGGCTCCTGGCCCCCATGTCGTTGTCGAAGCGCAGGATGAGGTCCAGGTCGCAGCCCATGCGGCCAAATCCGTTAACGGAGGAGCCAAAGGGCTGAGCCTGGGCGGCGGGGAACATGCCGGCAATGGCCAGCTGCACCTGCAGGGCGGCCAGGAAACGCATGCGGATGCCCAGCTCGTTCAGCCGTGTGTGCTCGTGCAGGAGCTGCACCTGCTCCTCGATGCCCGGCGCACTGCGCATAATGGCCAACAGATGGGCTTGCTCCATTTGCCGGGTGCCGTCGAGGGAGAGCAGGTTGGGCGGGGTCAGCTGGAGGTTGGGAGCCAACTTGGGGCCACGTCGTCCTCCTGCGGCCGCAGCGCGAAACCAAAGGAAGGGTGATCGCACGGGCACTCCGGCCAGCTCGCCGTTGCTCACCCCGGCATCAATTGCCGCCGCCGCCTCGTCCGGAGCTGCGTATTCTAGCAGGACGTAGTGCAGGGCCTCGTCCTGGCGGACACAGTAGTGGTGGGCAGCCAGGATCGAGCCGAAGCGGCTGCAGTAGTTATACAACTCCGCGTACGACTTCTCGGAGCTCACCTGAACCACAATGCTGCGCCGGGCCTGCCGCTGGTGGTGGCCAATGAACTCCTCGTAATTGGACCTTCCTGGGGGCAGATAAGTGCATTTGAAACAGCAGGAATCTCCACCAGGTTCGACTCACCTGCATTCCGGCTGGGAGACGACGCCTCCGGAGCGCTGTATTTTACGCAATATGTGCGCCAAAGGCTCAGCTGCTTGGTGCGTCGCACAAGGCTGTTCATGGCGGGTGGGGGGAGGTGGCCGGTCAAGTCCTGGACACCCACTTCGTGTGGCTAAAATCTGGAACTTAACCGAATCTTTGTGGACTCCAGTTTTGAGGTTATACTGTGCCGGTTATCGACCACAAACAACGGTTATGCAGCCCTCAAAACCTATCGATAGATCCGCCTTGGCGCCACATTTAAATTGCAACCGAAAACATTACTGATTTTCAAACTTTTGCATTGGTTATTTATGCTAGTTTTCTGTGAGATTAAAAAGGCTACCTAGTCGAACTGAGGGCTCCACATTTAAGGTTAGGTTGAGCCAGTTATCTGCCTTCGAAACCTATCGATTGCTCCCCTTTGGCGCCTAATTTGAATTGCAACCATTCATCATTCGTGATTTATCAAACTTTTTATTCCACGTTTCAGTTATTTTATTTTTACTGTTACTATATGCTGGTTTTTCGTGGGATGCACATTTGCCATATAATAAGGATTAATTAGGCAAAACACGTAAAAAAAGAGCATACGATCGCGTATATTTTCTAAATATACATAATCTCATTCTGCTCCCGGGTCGGTTACATTTAATCAACATGTTGTGTATATATCGGATATATGTGTGTGATATATATACATTTATTGGGTGTATATTAAAGTGGGCCGATTAAGGGGCTGTAAAATCGTACGATATAGTCCTTTCTAAACAATATTGGAAAATAAACTGTAGGCTTAAAATAAGAAACACACAGAAAAATAACAAAATTTGGAGTCCCAATATTTTTTGTTAAAAAGGCTAAAAGGCTATTCAGAATATTATTTTTCTAAAAATTAGATTTATATTTTAAATCTTTCTTTCCGTTTTGCTTAATATCTGCCAATTCCCGGGTTTCAGACCATAAATTTCTTCGCCGATATTGCTTAGAAGACCATTAAGATTATGCTTCTCCTACGATTTTTTATTTTGTATGGGTTCATTAAACAGACCCACTCTAGTGTTTATAGAGTGCGTTTATTGGATATATCTGCAGAATGCTTATGGCGAGTGAGTACGCGGATTACGGGATTATATTATGAATTTAGTCTGTTATTGTTATTGTTCATCGAGATGCTTATACAGGGTACAGCTTAGGTTAGGAGTTGTGTTAGGCTTGTTTTTTGGGTTCTGTAACATTTTCATTGTGCTTTTTTGTGTTCGTCTTAAATGCAATGGCGCCAAATAATCGAGTTTGATTTCTGGTTTCGATTATTGGTTCACTTATTATCTCAGTATCACATATGTCTCCTTAAAATGTGTTTTGTGTGCGGAAACACCAGAAACATATCCATTTAGCAACATTTTATATGATCTCGATCAAGAAGAAATCGGTTTTAAAGAACTACGCGAGCAAGGATCACATCGAACGTATGCGAAACTTAAGATTACAATTAAATAGTTGTGTGCGGTGTTGGGAGTGGGTGTGCTGCGAGGGAGTGGGTGGGCTGGTGTTAAATACCGGACTGAACAACTGCGGTCAAAATAAAAGCCTGACAACTTTAACTTTGTAAAGCTCTAATAATTCACATTTTTTTGTTTAATCATATTCCCTGTTTCTTCCCACTTTTCTACCTTTCTTAAAAAAGAACAAAATTAAAATTGATTAATTTCCAAAACTGAATAGCTGTCAAAACCCATATCTATCAAGACAGTCTAATAAAATTTTCTGATCTTATATATAACGTTCTCAATTTGTATAAAAACTCAACCATATTAAAGATGCACTAGTGGAAAAATCCTGATAAAATGCCTCACACAGACTCTTAACTGTTTAAAACAAGCAATAACTATATAAAGGGGAACTTGAATTGCTCCTATTGCGACCGCAGCTGTCGCTATTCCTAGCAATACATTAAACACGTTGTTACAGACACACAAACATATATAGCGAATAAATATGTAGAGTATAGGGCTTAGTTTAGTTTGGTTGCTTTGCTGGCTTCACTTTTCACATCACTTCACTCTAGATTAGTTAAGCTTAGTACTGTTTAGCGTAAAAGAAATGCAGTCGACTATTGCTTTCCACAGCCACGTCCCCTGCTCTATCCGCTCTATGCTCTAACCACCCATCCAGATCCCAGATCCCAGATGCCCAGATGCCCAGATCCCAGATGCCCAGTGGGGTCTAGATGTCATCGATGAGGCGACCCTCGATGACGGACGAGTGATGGTAGTTGGGCCGCGGGCGGAAGTCCTCGTTCTGCTCGTTGAGCTGCGTGGGCGAGAGATCCACACCAGGGCACGATGGAGTAACCACGATCTGTTCGTACTCATTTATTCGTTTGCTGTGCACCAAAAAGAGGGAGACCGCATTCAAATGGGCACTCAGTGTTGGTCAGTGTGGCAGTCGAAACTTACCCGAAGCATCGGAAAATTACGCTTTTTAGCCAGGCGAAGAAGTTAAACTCCGCAGTGAGACCTGGCTTCACAGCCGGGTTGGCCGTGCCCACATAGAACCACACAACGAACACCACTAGGAAGCAGGTGAGGGCATAGTACCAGTTCACCAGCAACATAACCAGCAGCTTAGTGAAAGCCTACAAGGAAAAAAGCAGATATGGACAAATAAGCAAGCTTAATGCCTGTTGCAAACTCACGCCAAGCAGCGAGGCCCACCGGTTGCAGTAGCCGGAGTACCAGTTTTTCGTCTTGGAGTGGATGGGCGGGCGGATGGGCGCGATCGGTTCGGCCTCGTTATCCTGCTCCTGCTCCTGCTCGCTGCCGCCCTGCCCGGCTGCCTGCTCCACGGACAGTGTGGTGTCCGCCTCGGAATTCAAAACCTGCGCCTGGTGCGAGGTGCTGGGCCCCTCGTTGTTGAACTGCAGAGGCTCCGTCTGGTGCAGCGGTGAGTTCTGCGGACTCTGCAGGTTCTTGTGGCGCACCCGATCCGGAAAAAGCAGGTCCAGGTCGTTGCCAGTGTCCGAAACACTGCCGTAGCGACGCGTCTCGTAGCTGGGACTCGAGGCCTGGATGCGGAAACGCTCCTCGCGCTGCTCCTGGATGTCGAAGGTCTGGGCCAGGGCAAAGTAGGCGTAGTCGATGCAGGCATACGTCAACAGGAAGGGCATGGTCACGATGGGCGCTAGAAAGTTGATGTCGCCCACGATAATGAAGGTGACCGTGACCAAGGCCACGATGGCCATGGCGTATAAAGGCACTTTGTTGGGACCACGCTGAAAGGGGAGGGAAAAGGAATCAGCTTGTATTCCTGTTTATTTTTCCAATTAATAGCTAAAGCTACTTACACCCTTTCCCAGGATATCGATACCCGGAATGACGCTTTCCTTGGCAATGCTCTGTAGGACGCGTGGGGTGCCGTACATGGCGCCTAGGCAGGACGACATACTAGACACGTAGATTCCCGCCAAGAGCAGAAAATGAGCGGCCGACACTTTGACGGAGATCATGTAGTCCGTGTACAGGATGTCCCGCTGGCAGGTGGCTCCCAAAAACAGCACGAACACCAGGTACAGAAACGTGCTGCAATGTAATGAGACCTCGTTAGGCACAACCAAGGGATTGCTTTGGGCTGAGAAAGTCTTACGAGGTGCCAAAGGCGGCCAGGGTGCCGTTGGGAATGTCTGTGGAGGGGGCGCGCAGGTCGCCGCTCATATTGATGCCCGAGAGCACGCCGGTGACGGTGGGGAAGAAGACGCCGAACACCCGGAACCAGGAGTAGCCATCGTCATACTTCGGCCACAGGTTCTCTACAAAGTTTCCGCTCACCCAGCCGTTAAAGCCCTCGCCTGCAAAGGAAAATGAAATGGTAGTTCATTATGAAACGTGTGATTCTAACGATATCTGTCTACTAGGCGAAAACACAACACTTACTCTCCTCGCTGGTGAAGCTGCCCACCATGAAGTCCAGCGCTGAGATAAGCAGTATCATGAGCAGGATGAACTGCAGCTTAATGACCCACTTGACGCCGGCCACGTTGATGCAGCCCAGCAGGAGCACAGCCGCAGTGGCGAAGCCACGGATGGCCCACTTGTTTCCCTCGAGCCCCACGAGTCCGGCCATCGATTCGCCGAATCCCATTACGTTGAGGGCGCATCCCACCGCCTGGCCGAAGCAGTAGAGCAGTCCCAGGGCGCCACCGAAGCGGGAGCCCAGGGTGTGGGCTATGAGGAAGTACACCCCGCCACTCTCCACGCGGCACCTTTCGCAGATCCCGATGGCCGACAGCACGCTGACCAGGGCGATGACCACTGTGCAGAAGATTATCAGCACGGCGTTGAGGATGCCTGCCTGTGCCACGATCCATCCGGATCGTAGGAACACGATCACGCCGAACACGTTAATCAGGCAGGAGGTGAACACTCCGTCCCACGTGCCAAAGAGCACGGGCTGCGAGATGAAGAAGTTGGAGCGCCACCTGTTGAGGATTCGACTTCAGATTCGGATCCTGACCAGAAGGGAATTCTCGATGAGATTTACTCACCAGGGCTTGTCACCCTGCTCGCCCGCAAAGATCTCATTGGCTCCGGATGCATGGTGGCCACCAGCCGCGTACGTATACTCGTTGCCCAGGTCCACGAATCCGCCAGTGTTGTTGTTGGTCCGCTGGCGGAAGCTGGCCACCGTCACATCACCATCCTCGTCGCCTCCGAGTCCGAATCTCTGCCAGTCGACGGTGCGCCGGCCCCCGGTCCCGTTACCTTCCGAGCTATTACTCATCACCGGTCCGCTTTCCCCGTACCGCTCGTTGCTCCACTTATCGTTGTGGTTGTTGTTGCCGCTGAGGAGCGGTATATGCGCTGTGCTATTGTTGTTGCTGTTGCTACCGACGAGGCGGGTTATCTGGCCACTACACGGTCGTAATCGCGGCAATTAACTGATTGCTATTGGTTTATTTTCTTGGAGCTAAGTTTCCACTTCGGCACCCAAACATCCAAACCCAAGCACATCCACGCAGGCAGCCTGTGGAGTATCCCCTGGAGATCGGCCCACTTGGCTCACTGGCGGCTGAAGCGAGAAACGACGGGCATCGCCGTGGTCGCAGGTGGGTAACTTGGCTCGGTAAATGCGCAAAAAGTTAAATAAAAACACTCGCTTATTGGTAAACTACAAGAAGTCGTCATCGATGACTTTTCGATAGGCGATAGGCGGACTTAGCGATAAGCGATGGGTGTATTATCGCAGGGCTGGAGAAGGCCAAGAGCGCACTATTTTAAAAAATCCTAGTTTTATTACATTACAAATTACATGGATCCTTAAATATTAATCGTGATCGGCGGTTGAGACTTTTCGGAAGTACAGCACAATGGGTCGCAGTCTTCAGGCTCATTTATAAAAGCAATTTAGTTTAAAATCTTTTTTTTGTGATCTGGCAAAAACATCGACAGTCGCAATAAAACATCGATGTTTCTAATGAATCGATGTAGTACCACCTCTAACAACCCTCCCGAGCACCGCACGTGTTGACATTAAGCTCTTTGTTGCATCGCTGTAAATTGCCTTCGAAATGGCCAAAACGAAGGAGAAGTCCGGAAAAGTGGCCAAGAAGGCGGCGGGAAAGGGGGCGGGCCAGGTCGCGAAGGAAACCGCGACCGATCCAGAGAGCGGAATCTGGCGGGATGCACGTTTCCAGCACCTGCTGGCCGATCCACGGTTCCGCGGTGTTCCCAAGGTGCAGCGCAAGGTGAAGATCGACAAGCGCTTCCAGGGCATGTTCACGGACGACAAGTTCAAGGTGAAGTACACTGTGGACAAGTACGGCCGCCCGGTGAACAAGAGCAATTCCGAGGACCTGAGGAAGTTCTACGAGCTGGACGATAATGAAAGCGACAGCGATGAGGAGCAGGCAAAAGAGGTGGCCAAAACGAAGGATGCTGACTCGGATGTGGAGGCGGAGCAGCAGGAACAGCGGGCCGAGGAGCTGGCCATCGCCAACTTGGAGGAGCAGGGCAACGATGATCTGGACAGTGATGGTCTCGAGGTGCCCCAAAACCTGCGCGAGCGACTGACCAACCCGGACGTAGACTACGCCCGCGGAGAAGGCCGTCTGCTCACGGACTCCTCCTCCGAGGAGGACAGTGAGGGCGAGGACGGTGAGCAGGAGGGGCCGGAACTGCAGATAGACCACGTGTGGGGTGAGCTGGACAACGATGCCGGCAGCACCGAGGAGAGCTCCCGCCGCCTGGCTGTCTGCAACATGGACTGGGACCGCATACGAGCCGAGGACTTGATGGTCATGCTGAGCTCCTTCCTGCCGCCCGGCGGCAGCATCCTCAGCGTGAAGATCTACCCCTCGGAGTTCGGCAAGGCACGCATGGCCGAGGAGGAGGTCCACGGCCCCAAGGAGCTGGTGGAGCGGAAAGAGATGGAGCCGGAGGACGACCCCGACGCTGACGAAGAGCTGGTCCGCCAGCAGGACAGCGATGCGGAGGAGGGCGAGGACTACCACATGGAGAAGCTGCGCCAGTACCAGCTGAATCGTCTGCGCTACTACTACGCCGTTGTAGAGTGCGACACCATATCTACGGCCGACAAAGTGTACCAGGAGTGCGACGGCATCGAGTACGAGAGTTCCGCCACCCGCGTGGACCTGCGCTTCATCCCGGACGACACCTCGTTCGAGGAGGACACGCCCTCGGACGAATGCCACGAGCTTCCGGACGCCAGCAGCTATAAGCCGCGCCAGTTCACCACCACGGCGCTGCAGCAGGCCAAGGTGGATCTTACCTGGGACGAAACGGCGCTGGACAGGCGAGAGCTGGGCGACAAGCTCTCCAGCGGTCAGGTGGACAAGCTCACGGACAAGGAGTTGCGCCAGATAGTGGCATACAGCAGTGAGGAGGACTCCGAGGAGGAGCAGCCACCGGCAGAGCAGCCAGCTCAACGGGAATTGGAGCTGCCAGAGGAGTCGAAAAAGGAAAAGCCCAAGAAGCCCTCGAAGCAGGAGCGCATTGCCACCTACAAGAACCTGCTGGCCGACATCCTGGAGCAGGAAAAGCAGGCCAAGGAGCAAAAGTACGAAATGGAAATGACCTGGAACGTGGAGCCGCAGCAGGAAGATGAGCAGCAAGTGCCGAAGACCCAGGCCGACCTCACGCCCATTGAGAAGGTTTTGCAGAAGCGCAACGAGAAGAACAGGCAGCGCAAGGAGCAGCGTCGCCAGCGTCAGATCGAGGCCAGAGGTGGAGATGCCGACGACGACAGTGATGCCTCCATGGTGCCCGATGGCATTGATCTTAACGATGCCTACTTCGCCGAGGAGTTCGCCAATGGGGACTATGCTCTGCCCAAGACGAAGCAGGACAAGAAGAAAAAGCAAAAGCGGGAAAAGGTCAATGGCGAGGAGAACGCCGAGGCGCAGCAGCAGGAGAAGGAGTTGGAACTCCTGCTGGACGATGGCGACGGACGCGACGAAAAGCAGCACTTCAGCTTGTCCAAGATCCTAAAGGAGGAGCAGGCGGTGGGCGGTTCGAAGCGAAAGCGGCGTCAGCAGTTGAAGAAATCAAAGAACAAGCCGCAGGAGTCCGAAAAGCCGGACGACGACTTCCAGGTGGACCTGAACGATACGCGGTTTGGGGCCGTCTACAAGTCACACGAGTTCAACATCGATCCCACCCACTCTCACTACAAGGCCACCAAGGGCATGCAGCAGATCATTGGCGAGAAGCTGAAGCGCAGGCAGGAGCAAGTCGAGGGCGGCGTCCGCGGGGATGAGGTGGGGATGGGGGTGGCCCCCAAGCGAAGCAAGCAGCAGCTGGAGCAGAACGCCCTTGTCAAGAGCCTCAAGCGAAAGATTCAGCAGCAGCAGCAGCGGGGTCAGAAGCATTAGTGTTCTATAGTTTAAAGACCATAAATTATTAAAGGATGAGTTTATAACGAATTGCTGCGGCTCATTTGGTTAGAGCGAAGACAAAAGGATTCTGCAGCAGATGCCTTAAGCCTGAAGGTTGGTCATCACACACCAATTGCTTACTCTATAATTTTATAAAGTTAAGAAACCCTTTAGTAGAAACATAAACACCCACAAATCACAGTTCACATATTTTTTTATTGCTTAATCTATCCTAGGCTTAAAAGTACAAAAATGACATTTTCGAGGTTGAATTTGAAGTTGGAGACAGAGACCAGAAAATAAAGGATATGTTATTGACATTTAGTCATGCAGCAGATGCATATTGGTCCTCGTATATCTGTATTATTGCTTATTATATAATTGCTAAATTTGGGAAATCCTTTAGTAGGAACACAGTTTATTGCTTAATCTAGCTAGTTTTATAAGTACTATGATGATGTTTTCAAGGTTTCCCGTGCAGCTCTGGAGGATCACAGTCTTCTCTCCGCTAGTAGCTGTAGTTGAAGTAGTGCTTGTACAGCGCCGCCGTGACCCTGGCGTCCACAAGAAAAAGATCCGGCACACAGATGCGGGACTCCTGCTCGTATACGATCATGAGCTCGCAGAGGTTTGCCCACACGGGGTCGTGGAGTCTCCGGATGAGCATGCAGTCGAGCCGGGGACGGACCAGCGCCTGGATTACAGCGTGCAACTGGGCCAGAGTGGCCTTTTGGTCCAGCAGGGCGGCAAAGGGGCTGCGCCCGAGACACAGCTCGTAGAGGACCAGCCCCAGCGACCACACGTCCGACTTGAAGTCCACCTTGCCCTGGCTGGACATCGCCTCTGGGGCCATGTACATGGGCGTGCCCAGGCCCGCCTGCAGCTGAGTGCTGGGCGCATGCACGTTGGATATTCCAAAGTCGGCGATTTTGACGTGGTCGCTGGCGTCGAGCAGCATGTTCTCCGGCTTCACGTCCCGGTGGATGACGCAGCGGATGTGCAGGTACTCCAGGCCCACGACCATGTCGCGGAAGTAGCGCAACAGCCGCTCCGGATGGAGGCCTCCCGTTCCCGGCAGCTGCCGGATAACCTCCCTAAGGGTGCCGTTGGGCACGTACTCCATCACTATGTTAACCGTGCCCGCGTGGCTGAAGGAGCGCAGGAATTCGACGATGTGCGGGTGGCGCAGCTGCGAGATGATGTACACCTCCTCTTTGATGAGTCCCAGCTCGGTTTTGGGGTTCCGGACGATGATCCGCTTGACACACACCCTCCGGTCCGGCTGACCGCGCCCCTCGTGCTGATAGCAGAGGAACACCCGACCGAAGGTTCCCTGGCCCAGTATGCGAACCGCCTTCAGCTTGGAGTCGCCCAGTTCCATGTCGAGTGTCTTTGGAGTGTCTTCTGGAGGTTGTTTTACGGAGGATTCCAGAATGCCTTCTGCTTACCGTTAAATCTGCGCACGCGCGCCATGTATCGATTGGACATAGAGCTAGAGATGCCAGCTACGCAGCGAAAAAAACCGTTAAGCTCGACAACTAATATAAAATAAATAAAAAAATATTACAAATGTAAGTAAACGCACAAAATTTGACAAATTTGGATTAGATGTTTTTTAAAGTTTTAAAGCCAAAAACCTTTGAAATTTATTGGCTTATTAGCAGAATAGCCATTTATTGCATTCCCGACTTTAAGAATCAAAAAGAATAAAGGGCTGTATGTCACTCAAATGTAAATGTAATTTAAATAATTTATTTGAATTGCAAAAACTATTTTATAAATTTAAGCAAATTATTAGGCGGATTAGGCATTTATCGCTTTCACGTAGAATAAAAGGTAATGAATTACTTACTTTTGGGTTATACCTATAATGGTTGTAAATGTAATGTAAAAACTATTTATTTTATTTTATTTTTGGGTAAGTTGTTTCTTAATTTACAGTGGTCACCCAAAACTGCCGTTTTTTAGCCCATGACTTCAGAATTTTTTTTTGCGTATTTTTTTAATTGTAGCAAACTTTAGACAACAAAATCTATATTTTTTTAGCCACTTAAAGCATTTTTATTGCCGTCGTTTTTATTGATATTCTCCAATTCGTACAAAATTGGGAGGACTGCCCAGAACCGATAAAAAGGTTAACTTACCCGATCGGTGATCGCTTGATCCTTGGACCGGTTGGCGCTTTTCCTTTTGATTTTTCACAAATGGGAGGAGAGCTCTTCCTGCCTATTTGGGTGTTATATAAGGCGATTTATCACCAGATCTATAATTAAAACTGCTTTCTGGTGGCTAGACAAAGCCACATGAGTCGTGTGCATGTCGGACATAAAATTTTTCGCAAACTGCCATGGTGGCGTTATGGCTGTTATGCAAATCGAGGGGCTGGGAAAGCAGTTTACTTTTACTTTTCAAATCGATTATATGTGCACAGAGCCATTTCGTGTGCGCCCAGAGCACACTAACCCAAAAAAAATCGGCTGCAGATTTGGTTCGCATTCGGAACGAAATGAATTTTTAGCCTTTTCGCGAGCTTCCCAGGTAAAGTCGTTCAACTGCCGCTGTTTAATGGTATTGTGCTGTGCTGCATTTTTATTGCTCATTTGATTCAAATAGGATCGAAATGTATGTGAAAAGCCGGCGGGCAATTATCGCTAAAAGTAAACGCACCTTTCTCCTACCACGCCCCTTCGAGGGGAACGCACTTGCAGTTTGCATCATAGAGATTGTGAAAATCCCTTCACTCCAACTCAATCCATCATTCATCATCGGCGGTTGGCCCATCAAGGGGGGTGACTTGGCTCAAAGGTTGCAACAGCCGGAACTTGGATAACCATATGATGGGCGGTTTCTTGAAGAAATTTCACCTTTAATCTCCCAGGGAATTATATGGGTCAGTGGAAATCTTGTCCAGATAATAATAACAGAAAACAATAATAATCGTGATAATTATCATAAATTACAAGAGTTTATTTAAATACTCGATCACAACTAGAGTTTATGCGATAACCAATTGTGACAACATTTCGATGGCATCGATTACACTTTCCTTCTCTTTGGTTTTTTTTATATGCTAGATATCTGTTTGTGCCATAAGATAATCATCATCAAAATGATCATATATCACAATAGTGTTTTAAAACTTCGCATAGTTAAAAAAAATGAGGAAGCCACCTTTGTCCATTGGTTTTCGGTCACAAATAGAATTCAAACGATAACCAAATGTGACAACATTTCGATGCCATCGATTACACTGGCCTTCTCTTAGGTTTTTCTTCTTTTTATTGTTTGTCTTTTAGCGCCTAATTGCCTTGCACTTGTATCGAATATTTGAGCGGCGACTGGTTTGTAGATGGGTGGTTGTTAACCCGTTGATTATTAACTGGTTTTTCCTGCGCAGGAAACTGGCCGCAACGGCAGCGGCAAAGGCCACATGCCGTATACGTAATTCGCCTTAATTGGACCACTATCGCACGCACCTTTATACGAATGCCCGTGCCGAATTTTTGAATTTTCCAAACAATTGTGGCAGGCAGCGGCCATAAATTACAACAACAAACAGCAAACAGCCCGCTACTTTGACTGAAGTTCGTTGCCGTGTTGTGTTGTGTTGCCGTTGCACATTTCACATTTCGCTTGCCACAAGTTAGCCAGCTTTGGGTTTTGGCCGGGTATAAATCGAATCTGGTCCCGAACACAGCCACATTCAGCCCGCCACTGCCAAGGAGAGCACTTCGCGTAACGGTCTACATCTTTGAACATTTTTTTGATTGTGATTCAGTGTGTGAAACAAACTTCCGCAAGACCATGCTGAAATTTATTGTAAGCATTGGAGTATACATATGTGGAGTGAGACTCCATAAAAACAAAAGATTCACTATTCTGGGATCGTGTTTCGTGCAACGCTTTTACAGTGCTGATATTTAGTTTTATTTTTGAAGCCTTGTACATTTTCAAAAACAATAGAATTTTAAAATCCGTGAAGTAGTTATTTTGAAAATCGTTCAATGTGAAGTCAAAAAGCGTAAATCGCATTTTGATGGCATTTCAAAACACTTTTACAAAACATTTTCTTTTCACTTTTCGAAAATAGTATTAAATTGTATTCCGATTTTAATGGAATCTGGAAACCTCTGTTGTAATACATGTTTTAAATTCAAATCTTTTGCATAAAGTTCCTGGCTTCATTTTGCAATTTTTGTATGCATATTTCGTTCCCGTTTTCTAAAACAACCTCTACGTTCCTTTATAAGAAATAAATTTTAGAATATTTGTGCCGAAACCCAATCATGAATTAAAAAACAAAACCTTTATTAAACACTCTTGCAGATTCCCTGCCTGGCTCTACTGGCCGTTAGTGGAGCTCTGAAGATCCACGACTACCACCACGAGGCCCACGAGGAGTACGAGCACCAGGAGCACCATGAGCCGGAACACCACGCCCAGTATGAGCCAGAGCACGAGGAGACGGAACTGCACCACGAGGTGGACCACAAGCATGCCACGTCGCACCAGAGCGTCAAGTTCCACCACTACCACGCCGTGCCCGTCTACATCAAGAAGGAGGACCAGCACCTGGTGAAGAAGCCCATCGAGATCGGCGGCACCAAACAGAAGCTGAAGATCCTGCACCCCAAGAGCGAGCACAACCACAACCACGGCCTGGTCCTGGAGAACCACAGCGAGTCGCACGTCCACGAGCACGGCCACTATGAGGAGCCGGTGCACCATTCGGAGCACTACGAGCACTACTCGCACCACGAGTAGGATTCGGATTCGGATTCGGATTCGGATTCGGATTTTGAACCCGAATCGGGAATGCCAAATGAGATATAGCGCTTAAGGTTTATACGTTAATTTTGTTGTGTTAATAAAGCGTTCACCTAGACTGCTGTCAAGATTTAGGGATCTATTATTTCAAATCATTATGAATTGTTTATTTTTATCCTGTTATAGTTCCATTAATTTTGAGGTAAAATCGATACTTTACAAAAACTTTTGAATTTAAATTCGAAAAGGTCCCCATCAATAAGCTATCAAAGTTTCGATAACACTAACCGTCGAGATCAAGGTTGAAATCCATCCTTTCAGGCTTATTAATAAATGAAATTAACCCTTAATTTGAGAATTTTTTTTAATATTTCCCAAAATATATAAATATTTTAATTGTGTTCTCTGCTACGAAAATGTCCAGGCCGAAGTTGGAACGACTTACCAGAAAACTAAGTTACACAAGTTGAAGTAACACTGCCGTCAAGAAATGTTTACATAAATACCTACCTTATTTAAAAAAAAATGGGGAAAAGACAAAAATGGGGTGAATTTCTTATTGTCAGGCTAAATCTAAAAATTAGAGTTACTAAAGCGCTAAGAATCGAGTATATTTTGTATTTTATTTTCCTTTAATAGGTACAGATTAACTTAAAAATTTTTAAAATATTTTTTCGTAGTGTAATTGTCTTCCACTGGAAAAAGACCGATAGTTACAGCGGGCTATCGAAGTTTGGAAAGGAAGAAAAATTATCGCAGCATCGATAGGTTCATGGCTGGTTCTCCAGTAAAGTTGGAGAAACATCGATGCTCGCGGATTTTTGCAAAAAAAAAAAACAATGAAACATCGATGTACCAAAAACTAATTTATTTTGCTTAAACACTGAGGAAGTTACAAAATCTGCGCAGCCTTGCTGAAGTACCTCTTTGACTCTATCTGAACTTGCCTTACTTTAATATGCATATATATATTATCATTATTATTGTTATACATATATAAATATCTTTTTACCTACATACTTCTTGAGTTTTTTTACTTTAGTAATGTGGTAAAAACATCGATGGTCGCCACAAAACATCGATGTTCCCAAAATGTTGAAAAACATCGATGCATCGATATTTCCATCTATGTTTCGCCACCTCTATTCTCCACCTCTACCGCATTAGCGTTTCGTGAGAAAAAGTGCACAAAAACCGCTGTTTTCCCGTGCAGTTAGTCAAGCTGATTGGTGAAAAGTAAGTAATGTTCGTCTGCGGAGCTGTCGAGTGCGTTTTCCGTGACCGCCGGTGAATTTTCCACAAGAACGCCGCGTTATCCACTTTTTTTCCGTGTTGCTTTTTTTTTTGGCTACCCAGTGCCCCAAGCCAACTAACACAGGCGCATCTCCGTGTGCGTGTTTGTGCGAGTGCGCGAGTGTGAGTGCACTTCGTGTTGGTATAGTTTTTTTTCCAGCAGGGATTTTTTTGGCTTTATAGTTTTGCATGGAGCACTTGGTTTACTCCGGCATCTGAAATCCCGTGCCGGACGAGGCGGGGCGAGGGGAGGCGCTGCATTCACTTTCCAGCTAATTACGCGCCATTACCCTCTCCCCCTCACTCCCCGGCCGCTCGGCTGCCGAGATGTACACACAGATATTCGGATTCTGCCGAGAGGAGCTGCGAGCTGCAGTTCCGGATTGCGCTCAATACGCAACCCGCCGTCGCTCAACGAGGACTTCAGCTCGCAAGGACTCCGAATCCGAATTCGACTTCTAATTGATTTGCCATCTCTTTTTATTGTTGCAGCTTGTGGCGCGAACTGCGACGCAAAAAACCAGGCATCCAGAGGAGCAACTGAAGCTTGAAATCGAAGGAAATGTCCAACTCGGAAAAGATGCAGGGCCAGGAGCACGACGAGGAGCAGTCCTCCGACTTAGAGGTGCGTTTTGTGGGCAGCAGCATAGACTGTCAGAACTCTGTTTCAATTTTCCTTTCTGCTTTCTCTGCAGGAGTCTGCCGATAATGTGGCCCATGATGAGGGCACGGACGAGGACGAGGACGACAACGGCAACATGCAGCAGGAGGATGAAGATGGAGATGGGGATGAGGATGGTGATGGCGATGGCGATGGTGATGGTGATGGCGATGGGGACAACGATGGCGACGGCCAGGAGCAGTCCGGCGACGAGGAGCAGAACAACGGCCAGGGCAACGAGGGCAACAACTGCTCCGGGCAGCAGCAGCAGCTCCAGCAGCAAATCGACCGCACCAGCGCCACCAACCTGATCATCAACTACTTGCCGCAGGACATGACCGACCGCGAGCTGTACAACCTCTTCAGCGGCTGCGGTCCTATCAACACATGCAAGATAATGCGCGACTTCAAGGTGAGTTTGCAGTCCAGTTGAAAACCAGGTGAACTGCACGTCACAGGTGCTGTCCCTTTCGCACGCTGCATACACACGATGGCGTTTTATCCTCCTCTTTTAATGCTCGCCCCCGAAACAGACCGGATATAGCTTCGGCTACGGCTTCGTCGACTACAAAACGGAGTCGGACTCGGAGGACGCCATCCAGAAGTTGAACGGCTTCTATGTGCGCAACAAGCGTTTAAAGGTAGGCTTATATCCACATCCACATCCCTCCGGTCAGCCCTGACTCACTTGCTACTCCTTTCCTCCACTCACAGGTCTCCTATGCCCGACCTGGTGGGCAGTCCATCAAGGATACCAACCTGTACGTGATCAACCTGTCGCGGAACATCAACGACGACATGCTTGACCGCATCTTCTCGCCCTTCGGCCTGATTGTACAGCGCAACATCCTGCGGGACAAGCTCACCGGACGTCCGCGCGGCGTCGCTTTTGTACGGTGAGTCAAATTGGGTCAAAGTACCTGACAAGCATCCAGGATGCTCTAGAAATTAACTGTCAAACTAAACGAATACTTAAGCTGTATTTCTGAAATTGTAAGAAATGAAAAAAATGAAAATCCGCGCACCTTAGTAGAATTTTGGATAAGTTCCCTAATTCATTTTTGAATCTTTCCCATGACAGCTTTATGATATATTCGTCTGATTGTCATAGAATTCCTAAAATCGACACAACTTTGTTGTAAAATTGGGGAAAAGTTTCCAACATGCATCCAGAATGCTTTAGATATAAACTGTAAGACTAAACGAATATTTTTCTATTGTATTTCTGAAATTATAAGAAATGACGACCATGAAAATCCCAACAACAATAGAAATATGGATTAGTTATTCATTCCTATTCATTTTTAGGTCTTCCTCTTGGGGTCTGAGTTTCATACAATTCCTTAAATCTATACAACTTTATTGTAAAATTGGATGCTCTAAATATGAAACTGTCAAAATTAACGAAAACTTAAGCTGTATTTCTTAAATTGTAAAAAATTCCAAAAATGAAAATCCGAAAATGAATAGGAATATAAGTTTTTATTACTTTAGTTCTATTAATTTGTCAAATCGACACAACTTTGTTGTTTTTTAACTATTTGTTTATATCTCCTCACAACTTTAACTTATTCCCCTTTGTGTAAAATATAAATTTATTTTGGTTGATGTATACATTTTTTTAAGATCTTAGTATAGCCCTGGTCCCTTATAAGGTATTTAACCCACCCCATCTTTTTTGTAGCTACAACAAGCGCGAGGAAGCTCAGGAGGCGATCAAGGCCCTTAACAACACGGTGCCGGAGGGCGGATCCCAGCCAATCTGGGTGCGCCTCGCCGAGGAGCACGGCAAGGCCAAGGCGGCCCAATTTATGTCCCAGATCGGAGGTGGCAACGGTGGTGGTGGTGGAGGCGGTGGTCCGCCGCATATGGGTCCCAATGGGCCGATGCAGCCCCCGCATCACCACAATAACCACCATCACAACAACCACCATAATCCGCATATGCCGCCGCATCACCATCAGCCTCAACATCCCCACCAGCATCCGCATCACCATCCGCCGCTGCACCATATGCAGCACCACCATCCCAACAATCACCACAATAACCATCATAACAACAACAACAACAACAACCACCACAACATGGGTGGTCCGCATCCGCACCACATGCAGCAGATGCATCCGATGGGCATGAACATGGGCATGGGCGTGAACATGGGAATGGGCATGGGCATGGGCATGCCCATCCACGGAGGCGGCGGTGGCGGCGGCGGCGGTGGAGGCGGTGGTGGTGGCTTCCACCACATGGCGCACAGAGGTAGATCTAATAGAACAACACGATCTCAAAAACCGCATCCATATAACCATGCACAGAAATTTATTTAAACGCCATTAATTTCTTTACACGATATTAGCTGCATCTCACAGGTGAAGTGTTCATGCTGCCATTGCCGATTTGCAGCCGATTCCCCAGCCAGCCGCAACCTATAGGCAATGGCACTTGCCACAGCTCCAGCAAGAACAAGAAGCAGAACAACTGCAGCAGCAGATTCAGTACGAACCACCGCTCGTAAGCCACCATCAGAACAACCAGATATTCCACGACTACCTAGGGCCGCTTATCTTTCCGGTCGCCACCTATCCATCAACCGCCTCCTCCTCCTCTTCTCTGCCAGCCACGATTACGGCCTACCCAGCAGTGTTGGCCCTTTCCGTTCCCGTTTCTGACACGGCAATGGTCGTACCCATATCCCAGTTTTCGGAGATAGCTCTAGCTCCACCCGTCTTGGTTCCCGTTACCGTTCCCATTTCCATTCCTGTTCCAATCCCTACTCCTTCCCTGCCAATCCCCATAGAGGAAGCACATCCTGAAGTGGCAGTGAGTGGCGGTTGCATGAGTTTCTACAACATAAACGAAGACCTGGTCAACTCGGTCACCTACTACGACACGGCCAACGGCGAGATGTGCGCCATGGGGCTGGTTTACGTGAGCTACCAGGAGCCGACGATGCCAGAGGAGGAGCACTCGGATGCCATGACTCTGATTGCCCAGATGAGCAATGCATCGCTGGCAGATGAAGACGGCGCAGAAGGCGGGGTAGATGGACAGTTCGGCGGACATGGCGGTGGTAGCTCCGAATAATTCGAGCAAAATCGGAAGAAATATTAAGAAATAGTCCACATCCAGATCCAATAGTAGCCAACTCTCTCGCTCTCTCTATGTGTATGTATGTATGTTGTAACCCGTATATGTATATCCATGTCAGAGACCCAGGATTGGTTAAGACCATACTATATATATATATAATCCAAAACTAAAATAAAAACATACTGGCCAGGAATAGCAAATCCAAGCATTGGCAGCAGGAGGCGAACAAGAGATGCACGGCAGGCATGAGCAGAACAGAAAGAACACTTTCACAGATTTTAGGCAAAGTTGATGATGCGTAGCGTGTAATAAGATGTAAGAAGAAATAATGTTCCAAAGTACACACAATCCCCAACCCCAACACTTACATAAAGACGGTCGGAGTCGAATCCTTGATGATCGATTTGATGATTTCGCGATACAGATTAAAGCTATGCACTACGATGCGAATTTCTAAGCAAATTAAGAAAAATTCCAATGAATATTTGTATGAAGGGCATACAAAACCCAAGCAAAACAAGCAGCAATTCAGCACGGAGACAAGAAAGCAAACAATACAGAAACTTAACTAATTTAACCCAAGAGTACGGCGACACTGCGACACGGACGGATATACGGAGACAACGGACAGTGGAAAATGGACGGCTTGCTCTGAGTAGATGGTTAATTTGTAGACTTTTAAGGAAACCACAGCAAGAACAAGGGTTCGTTCGCGGCACTTGCTTTTTACTACATAATAATAAATTATTAATGTATAACCAAGAACCCAAATACACAACACTCTACACTAAACACACACTTATATATTAGATAAATATATATGAATGTATAAACACCCGATTCCGATACCCCGTTAATCTTCAACAAAAACTCGACAAGGAGATCGCTGAATATGAAATAAACTTGAAATTTTCCAACCAGCATACCCCTGGGACCCAGAAGTCCCTATTTTTTTTATTTTTTTTAATATTCATAATCTTTAAACGTAAAACCTAGTCTCGTAGCATTATCATAGTTAAGGTAACGTTTTTTTTCAGACTAAAATAAACTAAATGCGGAAAAGAATCGAAACACATGTACTTAAACTTTAAATTTTAAAGTTAATTCATAATAAACAAACAAATCGAATTCTCGTGCCTGCAAGCGAGACGGCATGATGTCAGCGGCAGCGGAAGAGAGCGAGAGATGCACAGTGCAGTGCAAAACGGAGCTTAGCTGAATTGTTGTTTACATATTTACGTGTATAAAAGAATATTACTAGTGCTTAAGCGGGTCTATTCGACAGGTGAAAGCAAGAAGCTGTGCCAATTTTATTACAAAACAAAAAATAAATACAAATTTAGACATACACACATATTTGTGAACAACGAAAACGTTGAAACTGAATTTTGCGATAAAACTGACCATTTTTAGGACAGTATTCTTGATAAATTGATATTTGAATGTTGATGTACACCTCACAGACACACACAAACAAAAACAGAGGCTACCGCTGGTATACTTTATTTATGCGCCTGGATCAAGCAAATTATATTACTTCCTGGGTGAACAGATGTATTTATATATACGGTGTCCACGCCAAAGAGCCACATAAAAAATCAAGTTGGTGTAATAAATTTGTGTTTTAATCACAGTGCGGGCATTTTGTTTGCCTTTCAATTAAAGATACAAATTCGGATTTCGTAATTAAGCACACTGACTAGTACTTTCGCTCGGATATAGATGAATTCCCCGTACAAGACAAATACACATTTTTTGAATTGCGCGCCCTCTTTGCTTAGCACCTGTCAACCCTGCCCCCCTGTCGATAGTTGTCGATAGGCACTGGAAGGCCAGAAAGAGATGGCGCGAATCAGCTGCTGGAACGATTGTTCTGTTGTTGGAAGCCACTGTGGGAAGCGCCAGCGCCTTCCAATGTCAATTAAATAAGCAAAACGCGAAGAAAAAAAAAGGCGAGCGAAGTGTCTCGTTGCCGCGGATAAACATAAACCAGGAAATAAGGCATACAACACAACCAACCAACTCAGCATCAACCACACTCACATCCGAATCCAAACGGACGGGATTGCGGGCAGGAAGAACGTAAACGTAACGTGAGTGTTGTTGCTGTTGCCGTTCTGTTGATTCAGCGGACTACGCAATAAACGATAACGACCTTCCCGCAGCAGAGTAGCACCCCCTGAGCGGTGGTAGTCACCAGTTGGAGATGCCCCAGATGAGGGCAGCCGCCGCTGAGGCGGTGGCCGCCGGCAGCGCCAACGGGCAGCCGCTGGTCAAGATCGGACACTACCTACTGGGCGCCACCCTGGGCACCGGCACCTTCGGCAAGGTGAAGATCGGCGAGCACCAGATCACCCGCGTCAAGGTTGCCGTCAAGATACTCAATCGGCAGAAGATCAAGAGCTTGGACGTCGTGGGCAAGATCCGGAGGGAGATCCAGAACCTGAAGCTCTTCCGCCATCCGCACATCATTAAGTTGTACCAGGTGAGCAAATACCTGCGTCACGGGGCACCAGACTTCCCACATCAGATATCCGATACTGAACTAGTGGCTTTCCCATTTACACAAATAAACAACACTCCGCTTTCCAAAGTATTGGGATATTGGAACCACAGACTGTCCATTAATTGATTGGAGCAAATTGTTTTGGCAGAAATGCAATCCTAAGTTATTTTCTCCTCGCACGCTCCATAAACATCAACAAACTCATTAAGCGAGCAGGGTAAATATTAAGTGTTTCTGAGCTACATCAGAAACTGGGGCACTAGTTTGCTTATGAAAAGGCCGATAGTCGGCTAAACACAACAAACATGATTCAAGTAAACAAATTTAAGCGTCGGCTTACTTCGGGCAGGGAAACGAGAGTACCTTTCCCATAAGAAATATTTAAATACACCGATAACGCATCTTAATTGTCTAGTTCTAAGCAAACTTTAAATGCATTTGATTTTTTCTCGACATAAAATATTGATTTTATTTTCACCGCAACTGTATGTATATTCCATTTGTGAAAAGGGATTAGCATAGGAAGAGTTTATTATCTAGCACATTACCTTAAGAAACTTTAACCTGGCCATGTAGATTGTTTGATTTGAGGAAACTTGCGAATACAGTCACTCCCAGTTAATGACTAGCCATTCCCTATCTTTTCCGAAAGGTCATCTCCACGCCTTCCGACATCTTTATGATCATGGAGTACGTAAGCGGAGGCGAGCTTTTCGACTACATCGTGAAGCACGGCAAGCTGCAGGAGCACCAGGCGCGCCGCTTCTTCCAGCAGATTATCTCGGGCGTGGACTACTGCCATCGGCACATGATCGTGCACCGGGACCTGAAGCCGGAGAACCTGCTGCTCGACCACAACATGCACGTGAAGATCGCGGACTTTGGCCTCTCGAACATGATGCTGGACGGCGAGTTCCTGCGCACCTCGTGCGGCTCGCCCAACTACGCGGCCCCCGAGGTGATCTCCGGCAAGCTGTACGCCGGACCCGAGGTGGACATCTGGTCGTGCGGCGTCATCCTGTACGCCCTGCTGTGCGGAACACTGCCCTTCGACGACGAGCACGTGCCGACGCTGTTCCGCAAAATCAAGTCGGGCATCTTCCCGATACCCGAGTACCTCAACAAGCAGGTGGTCAACCTGGTGTGCCAAATGCTGCAGGTGGACCCGCTGAAGCGAGCCAACATCGAGGAGATCAAGAAGCACGAGTGGTTCCAGAAGGATCTGCCGGCCTACCTCTTCCCCTCCTCCATCGAGCAGGACTCAAATGTGATCGACACCTATGCGGTGGCCGAGGTCTGCACCAAGTTTGGCGTCAAGGAGACCGAGGTGCACAACTCGCTGCTCAGCGGCGATCCGCATGACCAGCTGGCCATCGCCTACCATCTGATTATCGACAACAAGCGCTTCGCCGACGACGCGGCCAACCAGATAAATGAGATCAACAACTTCTTTGTGGCCGGTTCGCCGCCACCGCCGCCTCCGCCGCCCGTTCCCCAGTCGATGATGGACCACCAGGCCCCGCTGGCCACCGTGACCGTTGGCGGAGGCACTGCAGCCAGCTCGGGTACGGCCACGCCCGTACCGCCGGCTTCTGGCGGCACGCCCAGCAGCACCATTCGGCCGCATCCGGAGCGGATTGCGCCGATGCGGGACCGCCAGCTGGCCATGTCCGTGCAGAACTCTGGCGGCGGAGCGTTCCCCGAGAAAACCGCGCGCGGCGGCACGCCCATCAAGCGCGCCAAGTGGCACCTCGGCATCCGATCGCAGAGCAAGCCCAACGACATCATGCTGGAGGTGTACCGGGCAATGAAAGCCCTCAGCTACGAGTGGAAGATCATCAATCCGTACCACGTGCGGGTGCGACGGCAGAACGTCAAGACGGGCAAGTTCTCGAAGATGTCGCTGCAGCTGTACCAGGTGGACGCCAAGAGCTACCTACTGGACTTCAAGTCGCTGACCAACGACGAGGTCGAGCAGGGCGACGACGTCATCATGGAGAGCCTCACCCCGCCGCCACTGAGCGTTTCCGGGGTAATGCCGCTGCAGCCGACCGGCCACCACACCATGGAGTTCTTCGAGATGTGCGCTGCCCTGATCATTCAGCTGGCGCGCTGAGGAGGAGGACGAGAAGGAGGTGACCGCCGTCGGCCGCAGCGGATTCAATGGGATCTTCTCAGTTGGCGGTCTGCACTCGGACCGCCCTGAGGATTGACCATGACCCGGAAGACACAGTCCCACAAAAGAAAGCTGCAGAGGCTTGGAGTTCGGAGTTCCACAAATCATTCGTGGGTCTTAAGCACTTGACTGATGCGATCACTGCTGATTTCAATTGGAATCTAAATTAAAAAAAAAGACAAATTTCGATTCCGATTCGGAATATGCCTTTTGTCCGATTTTCGTACCACTTTGAATTAAATTAGATCAAACCTTTGCATGCACAAGTAGTCCGGTTGCCGTTCTTAGGGTAAATTTGGAAAACAAATTCCAATCGCTTTTGAATAAAGTCAACGATTGTAGTTTTTTCGGAATGTTGTCAGCAAGGCTGAATTTCTTTATAACCTTGAACATTAAGCGAACGATTAATCGGCTTTCTAACTCTGACTCCAGCTTTCCTTTGTGCGGCTGTGTAATCTTAATAAAATGTTTTTTATTACGAACGCCCGCCAGCCATTACCGCTACCCTATCGTTACCCGCTATGCCGTGTCCATTTCCGCTTCCGGTTAGTCTAAGTTTGTAGGTTTCGCCCCGCACCGCACGACCGGCGGGCTTCGATCTGTTTATATTTCGATTTCTGTTTATATTTACGTGTTGAGTTATTATTTTACCCAAATCCAAACCGTATGTTTACGTATATTTGTATTATGTCCAACGAATTGTAATCTGAGCCTTGTCTGGGGGGATGTTAGATTGTAACCAGCTTGGGGCGAGCGATTTTTATGTATCTGTGTAAACTGTGTAAAGCTACAATAAAGCGATCCACTAATATTCTAAACCAATTCTGGACCTGCCCAACTGAATTCAAAACAGCAGCGACGTGTGAGTTAAACATAGCCATAATTAATATTAGTTTTATTGCATAATAAAGTATTTTGTGCACATTCTTTCAGCATCGACGATTGCAATTACTGCATTGGGCTTTATCGCAGTTACAGTCTCCCGTTTCACGTGTAAAATCAATACCTCCCAGACCCACCAATCCATCCACTTCCATTTTGCTACTGCTACTGCTACTGCTTCTGCTGCTGCTTCCGCTTCAGTTTGTCGATCAGCGTCTCGATGCTGTTGACGTCCACCAGCCCAATGAACTTGTCCACCACGACGCCGTTCCTGAAGGCCAGCACAGCGGGCACGGCCTTCACCTCGAAGGTCTCGACGAGATCCAGGTTCGTCTCCACATCGATGACCGCCAGGTCGATTTCGTTCGAGTTCTCCAGCAGCTCGAGCATTTTGGGCGTGAGGATCTTGCAGGGATCGCACCACTCGGCGTGGAAGTTCACGATTACCGGGTTGTCGCTGTTGATCACCTGCGGATCAAAAGCGAATGCAGAGACTCCATTAGCTAAGGTAATTATTGATTTAGTAATAATTAAGTAATCATTTAGATCAAATGAGCCAAGTATTTTATTTTAAAAACAAACTATCTACTCGACATTATTGCAGTCAAGTTGACTAATAGACATGATGTCATTGCATAAACATTGTAAATGCGTTTATGGGTGGGAATGCTATAATGAAGTTGCTTTAATAGTGGATTTAACTTCCTGCAACCTAACGAAAACTAAATATATAAACGTTTTATATAATCATTGCAGTCAGCTAGAACTATGTACAGCGGCGGTCAAAATAAAAATATTTCTCAGCTTATGGAAATAGCACTCAAAAACAGTTTGAAAGAAACTTTTGGTAATATTTTTTCCAATTTCGTGAAGCTGTAATTATGAACTATGTTGTATAAAATCATTTACTACAGTCTATTGAAAAGTGAATTTTAAGGAATTAGTTATTGTTAATTTTTTCTAAAAGACTAAAACAATGTCAAAGGCTTCTAAAACCTGATTTTGTTTATTGGCAAGTACACATTATGATAGATAACAAAAAAAAAGCTCTTCTGCCTTTAAATTTTCCCACTCATATTTTTTCGACCGCAGCTGTATGTATGAAGATGAGCCCGTGATTCATACCATAAACAAATCTTTTAGTTGCTCTATTAGAACAATGGGTCACTATTCTTATCTCACTTAATCCGCCTGCAATTGATAATCTGGGAAGTCCAACAGTGGGAGGTAAGATAGCGGCTCCCCTTTCTTGTGGACCCACCACAGCTGGCTGAAAGGGGTTCAAACCGGTATCCAATGTTTTTGGGTCTCATTTGCATACACGAGCCAAAAGGCCAACACAAACAAAGGGGCGAGCGTGCACACATATGGACACCGTGGTCCATGGCCAAGTGCGTCATAGGGTGGATCCGCCTCCTCCTGCTCCTCCCCTTGCTCCACGGGAATCCAATCACGTACGCCAACCTTTCACATTGCATAATCCTGACTCACCTTCTGATCGAACTCGTAGTGATCCTTGATGACCAGCTTCTTGAGCAGGTGCTGCGACTGCGAAAGGTACTTCTGGGTGGCCTTGGCCGCCTGGGGCGCGATCCTTTGGCAGCTGCTCTGGGCACTGGTGACTCCCATGGAGCAACAGGCCACTAGACGTGGCGCGATTCCCTCGGCGGCGATCTTGAGCATTTTATGGGCTTCGGCTCTGTTGCGGGGGCGAGACGGAGCGGAACACGGAGAATCGCAGCGATTAGATTGCGGGGCTGTGGGGTGTTTAACCAGTTTTTCCGTACTCCGTGTATGCGTTCAATGTTTGTTTATAAACCGTGGCTGCCGGTGATGCCACACTGCCTATGTATCAGTGCTGCCACCCGCGGATAGTTAAGCGATAGGACAAATATCGAGTAGAAATCGATAAATTTCAGACAAACCTAAACCTATATTAAAAAACTCAGTTTCGCTCAGTCTTGGACTGTGTTACTGCTTTTCGATGGAGAATTCGGAAAAAAGGCGGCTTTTATACCTCCCTGAGATAATTATAGTTGGCCTGAGTTAACTTGATTACTTTATAACTTGAGTTATGCCTCAGCTGTTCTTTGTTGTGCCAGCTTCTCGACTTCGAGTTTAAGAGCTGGTTAGTCAGGCTGTCCGAAGAACTAAACGACAACATAAGCACAAAGTGCCCTTAATTAGGTAGAGGAAAGCAAATAAAATTGTGTTAGCAGGCCCATTAAAAGATAAAAGTTAACTTGCAATCAAGAAGTAGGGACTAAGAAATACCCGTTCCAAAGACTTGTCGCTTATTCGCTTACGATTCTGATTTTAAACAACTGTTATTAAGAGTCCCCGATTGTTTTCAAATTTCGAATTTCAAATTTGGCGCCCTACCTTCTCTATCGCCTCTCACTCTCTGCCGCAGGAATTTCGCTGCTCGCGATGCAACAACAAATCAGAATCTGTCCATTTGCCGACGCTCGCCGTTGCCGTTGTCGTTGTAGCCGCGCTGCCGCCAGAGAGCTGTGTTTGCTTGCCGTGTTTATTATTTTTCTAGACTGCGGGCACGGTGCTGAGAAAAATATCCATTTTTTGTTTTGCTTTTTGTTTGGTTTTGTGTCGTCGGCAAGAAGGCCGAAAAGCGGTAAATCGTCCAGCCACCCACACAAGCACAGGCCGAATCGAAGTCGGGCTCAGAGAGCATACATATGTGTGCGGAGAAAAGTGCTGAGTAAGCTGGAAAACATTGCGAAAAACGCGTGTTGCATGTGGGCCAAGGAAGAGGAAAAGGAAGCAGAAGCAGTAGCAGAAAAAACAGCAAGTGAGTTTGTTTGCTGCTTTTTGTTTGGTTTTGTGTCATCGGCAAGAAGGCCGAAAAGCGGTAAATCGTCCAATCACCCACACAAACACAGGCCGAATCGAAGTCGAGCTCAGAGAGCATATGTGTGTGGAGAAAAGTGCTGAGTAAGCTGGAAACATTGCGAAAAACGCGTGTTGCATGTGGGCCAAGGAAGAGGAAAAGGAAGCAGAAGCAGTAGCAGAAAAAACAGCAAGTAAGTTTATAATTCGCATATAAAACAGGAAAACTACATATCAAATCCAATTGAAGTTTTAAGCTCCGTCTGTGTGTGTGTGTGTGAGCGGAGCGCGTGTGTGTGAGTGAGTGTGCGTTTTTCCACCCCAAGAGCGCGCTTGAAAATCCAAAACGAGGTTTCGGATTGTTTTTGGATCCTACCCTGGTTGAGAACGTGTTTCAGTTTTTGGATGGACAGCTGTTTGCTCCTTGTTGTTGTTTCGATTTATGACATCAACACACGCTCCCAGCTCACACACACACACACACACGCGTGTAGGCAGAGCTTTGTTTTTGTACTTAGGCTAAAGCTCTTGCTTGAAGCTCAAAACCAAGCTGTTGTTGTTTCATTTTTTTTCGTCCTTTCGGAGCGCGCTTTATTGTTGTTTGTGTTTCCTCGAAATAAATTTTATCGATTTACGTCGAAAAGCTATAAGCTGGTATATTGGAAAATATTAATTAGTGGAGGTCATCTTCGATTTATGATCTTAATCCACAGCTTTTACTCACGAATTCATGGGGATGTGTGATAAAACAACAACAACAATATGTATATTCATATGCATATGCCAACATTAAGTTCGATATAATCTTAAACTATTGGAAGTTTTGGAAATCATAAGGATCCCTTAACACTCTGTTACCAATTTATTTTGTTTGTGTTAATAACTTTATGAGAATATTAGAATCATTCTCTTCCCAAATAAATTCCGATGTTCTTGAACTTTGGAAACAGGTCTTTAAATCCCCAAAAAATAGGCTTTGATAAAATTTACAACGCAGCTAATCAGTTCGTTCACCATTGATGAATATCGTTATTGCTTACGTTAATAATATTTCATATAATGATCATAGTTTTTATAGGTTCGCAAAACTAAAAATACAATACAAGATTTTAACCTAGTTTCCCTTGATTATTGTACTACCTTTTTACCCCTAGCCATCAGGTCTTCCAAAAATGTTCGGCCAAAAATAATGGAAAACTGAAAAAAATTGGAAAAAGCTGGCGCATGGGTTAGGGCGGGGAAAACTTTTATGTTGTTTTGGCCTAAAAATATCGCGCCCAGCGAACGTGAGTTTTCCCGACTCTGCTCCGAAAACGAAATCTCAAAGTTCCAACTGCGATCGTTGATCCCCTGCGATCCGTTGTGATCTGAACCAAGATCGCCCTGGCACTTCTCGAAATAGCACTCATTGGTATCGTGGGCTGTCTAATTTTGGGCTCGTCTTGAGCAGGTTCTTTTGCTGTGTAGTACCCACTCCCGTTGTTCCTGCGCTGGCTTTGTTTTCCCGATTTCTTTTCCAGCCCCATGCCGGGCACTCGAAGCCCGCGCTCGTCTATTTATCCGTCTATATATAGAGTCCCGACTTCGGCTTAGTTCGGGGTACCTTGCGAGCGGCAGGCGAAAGGTGGAAAGGGAAGTTCAATTACCTTTAAATGGATTACACAAACAAATAGTAGGGCTGCCACAGGGACGGCGAGGCGGGGCGGGGCGGGGCGTGTTCGGGGCGGAAGCCTATATTAAACACAGACACGCACTCACACCCCACAACTAGATAAAGAAACACAAACAGAGACACAAGGCAGAGCAAAGCGATCGGGCCTGATCCCGATCCTCAGCCCCAACCCCGCTTTTCTCTTAACTTGGACAGTGGAGCGGGAAGAACGGGGCAAGGGGTAGGGGCAGGGGCATGGGCGGGGGCACCGTCGGCGATGCTGCCAAAAATAAATTTGAACTCAAATCGCAGCGGCAGACGCGAGTTGCCAGTGAAAACAACGGCTGCCAAGAAAAAAACCAACGCAACGAATTAGTCTTCAAAGACCGGCCCATCTCTATTTCTTTGGGCCTGGGCCATCGGACGAAAAGTATGTAGTACTGGCTGGCAACGCATCCAAAACAAGCCCACTTCTCATCCGACACTTGGATATAATATTTGGTTAGTTCAGGATTTGATATGGAGATATGCATGGGAGCTCTATAGGTTTTGTAGGAGTCAGGAATATTGTGTATTCCCTTATCCCAAATTCAGCGATTTCAATTTGATACACTAAAAAATATCTGGCTATTAACTTTCACATTTTTTATATCAAATGAAAATAATATATATAAAAAGTCAATATTAAATACAATGCATATTAAATTAAATAGCATGTTTAATATAATGTAAAAGATATTAGATTTTAGGGGACCTATTAGTTTTAAAATAATTATATTTTAATTTAATATTAAATAAAATTAAATTTCCAAATAATCGAAAATAGTCAAATTAAATTAGTATTGAAATAGTCAATTGAAAAATTAAAGTTTCCATGCATAAAATAAATTTAAAATATCCGCAATGGGCGTTGATTTTCGTCGAAAAAATATTTGAATTGAATACAAAATACTTAGACTTTTTAGGTATATTTGTATACCCATGCAGAGGGTATTATAATTTCAGTCAGAAGTTTGCAACGCAGTGAAGGAGACATCTCCAACCCTATAAAGTATATATATTCTTGATCAGCATCACTAGGAGAGTCGATCTAGCCATGTCCGTCTGTCCGTCCGTTTCTATGCAAACTAGTCTCTCAGTTTTAAAGCTATCTGCATGAAACTTTCCCAAAAGTTGTCTTTCTATTGCAGGTAGTATATAAGTCGGAACGAGCCGGATCGGACGACTATAGCATATAGCTCCCATAGGAATAATCGGAAAAATAAATTAAAAAAAATTATAACTTTGGTGTTTTTTAATTTTTTTGTAAGTTCTTCGAGATATAGTAATGGTTAAATATTTCAGAATTACGTTTTAAATTTCATCAAAATCGGACGACTATAGCATATAGCTCCCATAGGAACAAACATATATAAATAAATAATAAAGTAAAAGTAGCAATGGTTAAATATTTCAGAATTACGGTTTAAATTTCATCAAAATCGGACGACTATAGCATATAGCTCCCATAGGAACAATCGTATAGCTGCCATAGGAACTATCGAATAATTAATAATTAAGCTGCAAATCATTATAGCTTCAATGGTTTTAAACATACACGCAAGTAAAATCATAATTTTAACGTTTTCAAGAGTATTTAGTTTTTGAAATAGCTGCAAGGGTATATGAACTTCCGAAGTTTGCTTGCTTTCTTGTTACCATTGTGAATGGCGCCATTATTTGGGTCTTATACTTGTGGCCAAATGATTTTAAATTTTTTCGAAAAATAGTTACAGCAGGAAAGAAAAGCAATTAAATACGATTTTTCCACTTCCCCTGTTTAAATATTATGAGTGTTTGTAGACGCCTTAAATAATCCAATTACTTAGAACCTTTAGTCTTAACCACTGCTACTAAATTTATATAAAAAAAAATTGATGTTGCTGGTGTAGTCAATATATTTTTTAGGGAATCGCAAGGCCAGCTCAAGGATGGTAAACTAATTTTTTTTTGCAGGGCAGGGAAGGCGGTCCGTCAGGGGGCAAGTGACGCAACGTGGCATGGACAAAAAGAGGCGTCCGGAAGGCGGGGCATACGTGCCCAACCTCATTAGTTTCGAGTTTCCAAAAACGCACGCACACCAGCGCACAATCGCCGAAACACGGGGGCCGAAAAAAACGGGGAAAAGACGGGGAAGTGAGGAAAATCGAAAATGGAATATGGAATATGGTTTTCCACACGCTCGGACCCGTTAATTTTCATCTTCGGCGAGAGAGCTTAAACAACGGCTATTTGTAAACGCAGGCAGATGCCTGCCAGCCCGAATATCGCTCCCGCCGCCCGTTCCGTCCACCGCTCCTGGCCAGAAACCAAAACCAAAGCGATCCAAACCGATCTCTCTCTCGCATTCCCTCCACCTCTCACTCTGTGCGACTTTGGGGCAGCTATTTATAAAGTCGAAAATACTTTTCAGCTGCCATGTTGCGAGATGCCAAGTACAGTTGCGTACTCGAGCGATTGGGCCAGATCAGATCGGTTTGAATGAGATCGGTTTAGCACTCGACAAGCGTCAGAGAGGAGGATTAACCAGGAACTCTCCGGGATGAGTTGGTACTCACAGAGCACTAAATGTGGCTCTAAGCTCTTGCGTAATCGCTTACAAAAGATCTGTGTTCTACGAACTCTAAGAATCTTTCAGAGAACACCCTTCGTGGAACCAATAAAAAAGTTTTTCCCAATTCGAAAATGTGCAATTTGTAATTGCCTTTTTAGTTTCTTTTTTTCAACCGGAAACTTGATTTAAAGTTTTGAATCCATATTAAACCAAGCATCAAAATTATGGAATGGTAAGACATTGGGGTTGGAAACTTTTTATAGGAAAACATAAGAATTTGCCGGTTTTGTAATTTTTTTCTTGCATTTTAAAAACAGGTCTTTGCCTTACCGCCCACAAACTTTTAACGGACACCCTTCGTAAAAACCATGAAACTGATTTTCTCAATTTATTTTAGTTCCTAGGATATCGTACACCAAAATTAAAAGGATATGTGGTCTTGTTAAATTTTTTCTTATTTAATGTCAAAGTTAGTAAAGTAAATATGGAGACTATATTTCTTGAACATATTCAGATAAAATCTATTTAAAATCTAGCTAAAATGCAGCTAAAATCCAGCTAAAATCTAAGGTATATCAGGTATCTACTGTTTTGTGTTAGGCTCTTTAGGATCCCAGATAAGCTCCAATATGCTGGGAACCTCTGGATGGCGCTGCTCCTGTGGGCATACAAAGCCATCCCAGGCTGGATTTTCTTTTGTTTTCCTGCTGGCTTGCATTGTAAATAACTTTTGCTGCGACTGTGCTGTGCGTAGTGTAAAATCATTTTCCCGAAGCTCCGCTCTCTCGCTTTCTCTTGGACAGACATGCAGATACAGATACTCGTGGACGGGAGGCTGCACAGATACAGATGCGCGGCGGCAGAGCAGAACTTTCGGTTGGAAATTTGCCAACCCCTCATGGCGCTTTTCGACGCGATCAGCTCGACCCCAATAGACGGGGGACGGGGGGCGGCCGACAGGGATGGCGGGGGGGCGTGCACCTTCGGAGACGCAGCCAACAGGCTGCGACGGCTGCTCGGACCGCTCGAGTCTCGGTATTCTGCGGCTGAATTCCGAATTCGCTTTCAGTATTCAGTTAGACTGCGACGGCTGCTCTTTGAGTGCGGCCAAGGAACGGAGCAACATCAGAACCTGAGCATTCGAATCCCGAATCGGGCCAGTTCGGAACGGTAAGCGGTTGGCAGCGGTTATCCGGGAACGGGAACGGGTACGGGTAACGGGTAAGGCACGCTCTCGTCTCTGCGCTTTGATTTCAACTTTTGTTTCTTGGTCCGCGTCTATTTTGGTTTTGGGGGTACTAGGGGGCTTTAGGAGATGGTGAGTGGCTGGGGAACCATTTGTTTTTCATGCCAAGGCGTGTGGGCGAACGGAAGCGAAGAGAAGCAGATGAACAGGGCCAGCTCCGAATGCCTCTGCTTTCCTTCGATTTTCGCTGTTGTTTGTTTGCAATGAGCGAGATCTGCGCCTTCTTCATTCTTTGAATTCTTGATTCGTCATAAACATATATTCCCAAAGCTATACACTGCTTTATATAAAAAGTGTATGACTGCGCCTCCGATTCACTGAGTTTTTTTTTTTTTATTATATTTCATCTTTGAACAGGAACATTCTTGCAACGGGCTTAGATATATAGTTATATTTTAGACATAACATTTTTTTTTAGATGGGCTAATGAGATTCTTAGTTACTTGTTTTCTAAAGACTGGCTTAGAACTCTTTTTAGGACTTGGTTTGTTTCAATAGATTGCGCAGTTTGGTTCTACACACTTTTAAAGTTATTTTTTTGTTATTTATCTGTTTTTTTTTATATGCTCAAGAACAGCAGCAGAAAGATACGCTTTTAAAATTAAATTTTGGTATAATTTAATTTAAAAACTGTGGTGAAAAGATTTTTAAAAGTTCAACAAGTTTTAATAAAATAATGATGTCATTTGGAAACACTTTAAAAAACTTGAAATTGGCCTGAGTTAAGTGAATTGTCATAGATCCTTGTTTGGGATTCAAAAACTCTTTTTTGAACAGTAAAACCATTTGGCCCATTAACACAAGCCATTGGCCGTAGCTTATCGAGTCCGGCGGATCAGGTGTGTAGTGGTTGGTGGGCGATGTTTGATGAGTCACTCACCCGACTTCCAAGTTTCCGTGGAGCCACAAGCCCACCTTAAGGCGATAAGATAATGCCGGGTAGCCATACAGCCAGATTAGATATTAGTTTCAGTGCGGTTTTAGTGAGGCCTAACCAGGGGATTTCCTCTCCTCTCCCTTCCCAAATGGAGAGGGTGCGATAGAGCAGGTTCCGTTCTGATCGGGCCAAAACAGAACAGATAAGAGGGCTGAATTGGTGGTATCCCAGAGCAGAACTCGAATCAAGTCAAGAAGTCTTCTTCTGTTTGTGCTGTGTATTCGTATCCGTACATGCCTGCGCTTTTCCCGCCGCTTTTCCCCCGCTTTCTATCTCCGTTGATGTTTACGTTTTGCCGTGATTTCGTATTAACAAATTCACTTCTCTATGTATTTTTAATTTTAGTCCAAGGTTTGAAACAACAACTGTGAGCAGTGGAAACAAAACGAGCGTTCAGCTATAAACGATATCAAAACCAATAGGAAGAAACGCACACAAAGAACCGAAAACTGAAAACCAAAGACAAAGTCTTCGGAAGAGAGCGCAGAGAGGGACAGAGACAGGGCGAGAGCGAGAGGGACAGAGACAGCTGGCGGTCAGCGACGTTGGACAAGTAGTTGAAAATATTGCGCATACGCCGCGTGAACCGAAGGCAAAGAACAACAAGCCGTGCGTTCGTTCTTGTTCGAATTTCACAGATTCAGTTTAAAGGAAACCCAGAATAGAGGAAAGAAGAGAAAGATAAACATAGAGGAGTGAAAAGATAAGGAGGAGCAGGAGGAGGGCAAGTGAAGAAGGGCCGTGGATCAGCGGCTACGAACGAAATCCATTTCAAACCGTAGCCAGCCTTAAATCCAGGTGAGTCCAGGCTTCTGAAAACAATGTAACCGCTTACCTATCCAGTTTAATAATGGCTATGAGTTTTAGTTTTAGATTTAACAAGTTATGGGTAAATAGATACAACTATGTATATTGAATTACAATAGGAGGAATAATATATTAAATAGTTAAAAATTATGTGCATATAATTAAACATATTCCTACATGATAGAAGGGGAGAAACGCATAATCTTAATCTTTAGTCAAACTAAAAGTCTATTCAAAGTTCTTTTACAGTTCGAAACCATGAGGTATATATCAGGTAATGGGTAAATAGATAGAGCAATGTACATTGACATACATTATGTGAAGTTATACTTTAATTCGTTAGATACATTTTATGTGCATATCATTTAAAAAATTGCAGTGTGCTTTCTCTAAAGGCAAAAAGAGGGAAAGTATATTTAATATTATTTATCTAAAACTTCATTCAAACTTTAATCTTCTTTAAGTTCTACATTTAGTCCGATCACGCAAAGAGTTTAATGATTAAAAGATGGCAATGTAAGCTCTTAGCCGGTCTTGAGTAAAGAAGGAGCTGGACACGAGATCCCGAATTCAAATGTGTGACTCTGACGCTGGAGATTGAAGATTGCACAACGCTGGCCCGTATTTCCAAGCGCTTTTGCTACGCTCACACATACGGGGAACATTACACCCATTCAGCGGTGAGCGCTGCCCGATTCCCCTATTCCGCTGCTCTGGCAGTAGCAGTAAAAATTGTTAACTCAAGCGCTGCGGTTGGCGACGCTCGGGGAAAATGCGTACCCCTCTCCCCGCCAGAAAGCATGCGCGGATTACCAGGAGACTTCGTCGCCAGAGTCACCAGTTAATTACGAGGAAAAGCAGAAGAATAGTAAACACTACCACAGCCACAGACACAGCCACAGCTACTTCGAACGGTGGAGTCAGGTGCGTCTGGAACCGGGGTTTCCACAGGGGGGCTTTTGATGAACGGGAAGGTGCTGACTGGTTGCACTGAGTGCGGGGTTTGCAACGTTATCGGCGTACAAACAAAGCCAATTAGAACTTGAAACTCACCCGACGCCCTGCAACCCCCACCCACAGAGGGTGAAGCTTCACTCCCACCTCAATTGCCCCTTTTCCCCTGGGCTCGCTTTTATCAGCGGCTTATCAGTAAATAATTCCACCTGTTGCGCGGCTTGCGCGAGTGTGAGTGTGTATGTGTGTAGATAACTTGAGGTGAGGTATCGCATTAAGCAACGCTTGTGCTGCCCCACAATTGTGGTCCCCAAAAAGTAAACTTTGCTTGTTTGCAGTGCTCAACGCTACGCTGAAATGAAATGGAAGCCCCATTGCCGGCGGATTTCGTAGATAACCAAACCGAACTGAAACGAAACGAAACAAAACCAAGCGAACCCACACTTGTACACGTAGGGACCGATACAGATACAGATACAGATACTGAGCAGTCTGCCTCAAATCTTATCTTAAAACTTGACTCGACAGCGGCGCAGTGACGCAGACGCTTAGCAATGCCGCTTCGATTGCTCAGACTGGTACAGTTCATCGGGCAATCGATCAATTACCGTTTTCATACCATAAACACCCCAAAAAATCCTTTTTAAACTGCTCCAAAATGTAATTTACATGGAGTACTGTATTCAGTTATCCTTATCATCGTAGTTGTGATATTCTGTTGTTTCTGCCATAACTGTAATACTGTTATTTTCAAAAAAGTGGTAAATGCACATTTACATATGAGTTAGATAACATCACTTTTAGGACTCTCAGGCCAAATTTTTCGTCCTTCAGGGTAAGTTAAATCTAGGCTTTTAACTGCTAAACGGATTAAATTTTTCAATAAAAAAGAATAATAAAAAATAATAATAATGGTTTTCTAAAGCCAACTGTTAAGGTTAAGTTCTTAAACTATTTTTACATCGGTTGGTGTCCTATTTGCCTGTCGATCTTTCTCCTCTCCCAGTCAATTGAGGTTATGTCACCCATTCATTAATTAAAACCGCGTGGGCTCAAATATTTTTGTTCTTGAGTTTCCACTCTCTCGTTTTCTCTCACACGTCAGCTCAACCCTTACTTTGTTGCAGCTTGTCGCTTTCAAGCCAAAAACAACAACGTTTATTTATAAACTATTCTTGTTGTTGTGGGGGCCTCTCTCCCCACCCATTCCCTCCTCTCTTCTCCAAGTTTCGCTCTCTCGTACACTCACTTCACTGTTCTTGAGCCTCTTAGTCTTGCTGTTGTTGCTTCGACTTCGCCTTTGCTTCTTCGAGGGTTGTTGTTGTAAACTCGGTTTCAAGCTTTAATTACGTCTCACACAAATGCTCGTGTGTGTGTGTGCAAACAGTGGAGCTCACTGTGTGGGGGATTGGATGGGAGGAGATAGAAGGGGGAGGTTCTTCTGCTATTCCTATTTTTGTTTGCCCAGCGCCGACGTCGCTGCACTCCAACGGTACTTCTGAGCGTGCCCGAATTCGAATTCAAATTTAGTCGAGCTTTGCGCCTCGTCGCCGCCGTTCGCGAAGTTTGTGGCTGATTCGTTTTCCCCAGTTTTCCCCACTCTCTCCGCTCCATCGCTCTCTTCGTGGTTTGCCACCCACTTTTTTTCACCCGCTCGCCGGCTTTGGCGCGGCCTTAAAACGTGAGTACACTACCCCTCTCTCAGGCTCTTCTCCCTCGCCCATGTATGTGTGCTTTTTGTGTGGGAGAGTTTCACGCTAATCTGCAATTTCCAGATAAGATATCGGTTAGTGCAGAGTTTTATTGCTGTCCCTGTCCTTTCACTTCTGTTTCTGCCACCTCTGAAGAGCAGCTTTGGTACCCATTATCCTTTGATTGACCATTTTTTAGGATCATCTACACTGTTTCGGAACAATCGATAAAAGGCGGTAAGCCGCTGGTTAATGCAGTCCGTTATCGAGGATTTCACAGGGGTGGTCTACAGTGAAAGAAAAATTTATTGCTCATAATTTATCAATTATATATCGATAGTCTGGTAACATTTTGTTAAGACATTTTACATTTAAAGGCTAAAAAGATATACTTAGAGGACAGATTTATTTTGCAACAGGTTAATATCTACTCATATGACCTGCTGCTCTTTCTCAGTGTATTGCGCTTCTTTCTCTCTTTTTACGTCTGCGTCGGCAGCACATCACTCTTACAAACTGAGCCCATGCGTCTGCGTGTGTGTGACTGGCAATGAGTGGAGCAGTTGCGCTTCATTTTGTTTTTATTATTTTATTAATTAAAGAACGGCGGTTGTAGTGGTCTTTGTATAGGTGGGATCGATGGCAAGGGGGTGTGTAATCAGAGATTGGTAAGGTGGTGCGCAGCTGGCGGAGTTCTCTTTCAAAGAGCCACATTGAAGCTTTCGGATCTCGAAGTCATTCAAGCCAAAATTAAACCAAGAACTTCTGGGCATCGTTCTTCAAAGCTAAATAATAAAATATAAGGAGCACATAATATACAAAAGACTTAAACTTGGTCAAATAAGTTAAGACCATACATTTTTTCACCTTACGCATCTCAACTCATTGCCAATAAATAAGCTGAGTCACACATTTCTTTTTACATTGTTGGATAATGTAAACTAATTTTATACCAACAATAAAAACAAACTATTTTGCGTCACATAGCTATGCATAAAACAAAGAAATAACTAAAATATAATATTCTAATATTTATTATGCGTAAATAAATTAAATTATCGTTATTATGATCGTTTCTAAGACAGGTCTATGATAATGTCCTTTTTACATGGGACGTGCCCATATCAACTCGCATAGTGATACTCATCAAGAACTAAAAACAACAAACTTTTAAAAGAATGATAGTGCTTAGGGTCGAAAATGAAAATTAAAATTAAACGCCAATATTCTAATTCAGATTTACAGATATGAAAGCCACAAACTTTAGAAAACGCGATTTTAATCCGACTACCGAATTTTCCTCGTTACAGCTTCACGACGTCTTGCAAACGGCTGAAAATGGAGAAGACTCCACGGTACACGCAGCGGGAGCGAAACATGGTGTTGAGCTACGCGGCGCAGTACAAAGACGTGATCGAGAACAAGCGCACGGACGCGGAGTCGAATCGCAAAAAGGACGAGGTCTGGCTGCAGATCGCCAAGGAGTTCAACTCGCGGGTCTACCACCAGCGCAGTGCCAAGCAGCTGCGCCAGCTGTACAAGAACATGAAGCTGCTGCTCAAGAAGGACCTCTGTGGCGAGGACAAGAGCAACCACTCCTTCATGGACCTGCTCAACACGCTCTCGCAGCAGGATTCCGTGGCCCAGTATATCGCCGGGCAGCTCTCGCCGGAGGGCGCGGGCGGAGGTGGCGGGAAGCAGGGCGGCGCGGGAAACGGAGGCGGGAACGGACACCACGCGGATGACTACGACGACTCCAAGGTGGGCTCATGTTTAAGATATCAGTCACTTAGAACCTCTTCAGCTAGCTTTACTTGTGCGCTCTTACTAAAATGAAATCCAATCGTTATTTTCATGGACTACATAGAGCAACTAATATAAGCGAATAAACTTCTGTTCTCTGTGTTAATTTAACGCACTTGTGAAATGTAAAGACGTTTGTACTAGGACTGACTTACTAGCAAAAGACATTTTATTTACCTAAACCTTTTTTTAATTTAAATGTACAATATTACTAAACGTAGGATTCAAATTAAGTATAAGTGTTTGAAGCCCACAAAGTATTTGACTAAACACTTGATTTAATCCAAGTCCAAGTACTATTACAGTGCTTGTAAACTTGTACTTTAAGTCTTAAGTCTTGAACAAATTTTTTTATCTATATCCTAATTCTTACAGCATTGAAAGTAATTTAGCTATTCTTACTATTCCAAGTCATTGGATTCCATAAAACCTATAAATACCTTACTAAAATGATGCCCATAATGATTTTAGTATCATTTGTTTGCCTCCCACTTACAGATGCCCCTCTACCCCGAGGGCATGGACACGGACGTGATCCTCATCAAGTCGGAGACGATCAGCGACAACGAGCAGACGGACAACGGAATGGACTGCCTGGACGACGACGATGACGACGACTGTCTGAGCCCCAAGGCGCCGGAAGTGTGCCTGGAGGAGGAGGACGACGTGCTCTTCCCCACGGATCTGCGCCAACTGCAGCAGGCGGGCGTTAGCTCCTCCGCCGCCGCCGGCAGCGTTGTTGGTGTCTGCTCCGCCTCGCTTCCAGGAAATGGAACCAGCAACGGGCTGCCGGACCCCGCGCGCCGCGCCGCCAGCTCGCCCGTGTGCTCCACCAAGACCTCGGTGAGCTCTAGCGGGAGCTATGCATCGGCACCCAAGCCGGACATTACAATCCAGACGGTGGGACACATTCGCGTGGGCAGCTTTGCCAACATCAACAAGACGTTGCAGAACGGCGGCTGCAACGCTACCACCAGTAATGGCGGCTCCACTGGCAGTGGAGTGCTGCCCCTGACGGCGGAGCAAGTGCAACAGCACACGCTTCTGAACGGCCTGGGCCTGTCCGCTGTGAATCCGCCTCAGTCGCTGCAGGCCGCCATCAATGCCGCCTACGTCTCAGCTAACCCCGCCTCGTCGGTGGCCACCAGCAGTCGCCGCACCCCGCCCACTCTGCAGCTGCCACGCCTTCAGCGCGGGAATAACAACAACAACAACAACAGCAACAGCACGAACAACTCCACGGTGAACGCCAATGGAGTGCAGCTGCTGCTTAACGGCAACCACCATACCCAGCAGTCGCACCACCATTTGGGGCGGGACAAGACGGGCGGCGTAGCCATTGGGGCGTCGGGCAGCTTCAATGGCTACAACGGTCTGGCTGTGGCAGTGCCCTGCCACCCTGCCGCCTTGAACAGCAGCGGAAGCGGCGGGAGCAGCGCCAACAGCAGCGGAGTCAATAGTGGGGCCAACACCGTAGGCGGAAGTCCTAGTGGCGGACCAGCGAGGAGCCAGCACCAGGAGCTGATGAACTCGCTGAGAATCGAGGAAAGCAAGCGGAAGATCGATCTGATCAATGCCCAAATCGAGTATTGGCAGACGCTGACGCGCAAGCTGAACAGTGAGGCGGGCCACATGCCCAATCCCGCGTGTCCTTGCCACTTCCCAGGCGCCAGTGTCCTGTCGCCCGTGGTCACTACCAGTGCCTCAACCTCCGTTGCCGTCTCCGCCAACCTGCTGCAAACGCAGGCCACCACCAGCTAGTCCGCAGTGAAGGGTCATCCAGACGATGGCGGCGACAGCGACATCATTTCAATAGTGGACATAGATGATGAGCGGTCTGAGGAGGAGGAGCAGTCGGACGAAGAAGACGACGACGACAGCGATGAAGATGACTCACAAGATGCCTTGGTCAAGGATGTGGGCGTGGTGGGCGGTCTTTCGCCGCCGCCCCACTCCTCTCCACCGCCAGCAAAGCGCTTGAAGCGCCAGGAAGCCACCTCCGAGCTCCTCAGGCAGCTGGCCCTGCAGCAGATCCAACAGAATCAGGATGCCCAGAAGGGGTGCTAGTATTTTGTCTAAGCCACCATTTAACTAACCCCATCCCACTACGTTTATGAGTACTTTTAACTATATCTATCGGTGGTGCCACAGAAATCACTAGGGTTTTCGAATCACTTATAAAGGTGTGTAAAAGAATGCTGTGAAAAATATAATGTAGTTATTCGGAAGAAGTGCATCGGACTTCAGGACCTAACATGTATTTTTGCATACATTTGGCACCTCTATAACCTAATGATTTCTGAGGCACCGCTGTGTATTTATTTACGCCTAGTTTGAGTGCCAAAAAGAAAGATAGGAGCCTTGCCATCAAGAATGCTTGCCAAAGGACCTGGACAACAGGTCACTATTTATTTGCTAACCTAACTTAACATTAGTGCTAGAATCTTTTTATTCTGTTTTTGCGTATTGAGCCATTTATTTTGGTTTTTTTTTTTTTGTAATTAGGGTTTTTAATGTTAAGTTTTTTGAGAGCTACAACCAAAAAGAAAAGAAAGGAAAATATCTTGTCTTTGTACATTTACCTTAAAATTAGACCTAACTTAATTAGAGCGAGCGCAGTTAAGAGAACACAAACGAATGAACGAAAACTGTACAAATGTGGTTCCTAATCTAGTCCCTAAACAAAAGAGTAAAGCTAAAGAGAAAGCTAAAGTGTTATGCCTAGCCGTGAACTTGTGTATTATTTTTATGTATCAACCCAGAGAGTTCCCCAAAAACCAACCCAAAGAACTGTAGCTAATTTAATGTACTTAAAGAACACGCGAAACCTAAAGAAACAAGTCTGTACAGATAGAGGAAGGTAGAAAGAGACGAGTCGAGACAAGGCGGGAGAATGAAAGAGAGATGGATAAACTTTGCTAGTCGACACTGCATAACTGTATTTTAGTGTATTTTAGTTATTGCTAATTGTACGTGTAAAATACAATTAATTGCCTACCCAGTAACCACAATTTACAAAGAAACACACCAAACTAAAAGTGACAACCAAACCAAACAAAACTCTTTATACAACTTTTGTAAACAAAAACTTATTAATAAAACAATGAATTTACTTTGTGAACATTTTGTGCTTCTATGTTTTTGTAAATATCTGAAGTCCTGTTTTATAAACAAATCTTTCGCACAGTTTAAATTATTCTGCAATTGGCGCCAAATGTTTTTGCGTTATCCAAAACTGTGCCATTTCCCGATTGTTATCGGCTTGTCGCTCTGGAACCAGTTCAATTATTACTCATCGCTTCCAGTTCCAGTTCAACAAAAATTCGCTTGCGAATAAATTGCGAAAAGCAGAAATTGTTTATGTGGGAATCGGCAGCAGCGGCGGTAGCAAAAACGACAACAAGTGCGCTAGTGAATGAAGTGAACGTGAATTCGAAACCGTTCTCCCACTCTCACGCGCACCACCACCAGTGTAGGTTTGCGAGTGTGTGTGCGAGGCCTGAAACTGGGGATTGCAAATCGCGGATCGCACATTCCCCCGCCCTTGCGACGCCTGGAACACCTGGAACGCCTGCTGGAAGAAGAGACTACCAGAAACAGGACGCCCTGGAAACAGCTGCCAACTGAAGCGGGTCTTCAGTCGCCGGAAGTTGTACAGTCCGACTGAAAACAGGTAAAAAAAAACCCACCCACCAGCCACAGCCACCAAGAGTCGTCCAGTCACCTTACTGCTGCTGCTGCTGACCACCTGGATGCCCGGCTTCCACCTCAATGAGATGGGTGAAATGGTCCTGGACGCCATCGACGACATCGGTGTGGTCGATGTGTACGACCTGGCCTCGGACATCGGCAAGGAGTACGAGCGCATCATGGACCGCTTCGGCACGGACGCCGTCAGCGGGCTGATGCCCAAGATCATAAACACGCTGGAGCTGCTGGAGGCGCTGGCCACGAAGAACGAGCGCGAGAACGCCACCATCCAGGAGCTGCGCGACAAGGTGGCCCAGCTGGAGAGCGAGAAGCTGGAAAAGGCCGAGTTCCGGCGCCGCTTCGACAAGGAGCTGGAGCTGATCGAGGAGCAGTGGCGCAGCGAGACCAACGAGCTGGTCGACCTCGTCTCCTCGCTGCAGGACGAGAACAAGCGGCTGGTCAAGCAGACGCAGGACCTGCAGTCCTCCTCCGCCCAGAGCTCCGGGCTGGGGGCCAGTCTCACCGAGAGCATCATCAGCATGACCAACCACGAGCTGCACGGCGCCCTCTCGGACACCCAGGTGCTGCAGCGGCTTAAGGAGCAGATCTACAAGCAGCGGGACGAGCTTAAGAACCGCGAGCGGGAGCTACAGGACAAGTACAGCGAGCTGGAGCACGTGAGTATCCTCGGTTTATTGGGGAAGTAAATCTTTAATTATACAACAAATTTTATAGGAATGGGTGATAGCTTATTGTGACACTTACTGATCTTCCGCATTTTTTCTGCCAGCTCACCATTCAGGCGGAGCGTCTGAAGGCCTCCGAGCGGGACACGCGGCGCCGTCACAAGCTGATGCAGGCCCAGGTGAAGACGCTCTGCGAGGAGCGCGCCGATTTTCTGGCCCAGCTGCAGGACCAGAGCCGGGACATCAATCAGCTGCGCAAGCGCCTGGGACTGGCCGAAAAAGAGAACGAGGATTTGGTGGCCTCCTACGACGATGGCCAGAACGATCCCAATCGGCCGCGGTACACCACGCGCGAGCTCAAGGAGCTGATCAGCGAGCGCGACCAGCTGCTGACCACCATCGACGGCCTCACTGAGCAGCTGGCGGAGCTGAAGCCGCCCAGCCAGGCCAAGGGTAAGCGACAACGCCACTTTTCCAGCTCCGACGACAGCGACGAGGAGGACGATGGCCATGTGGCGGACAACGACGACGACGAGGAGGAGGCGGCGGCCGAAGCAAACGAACTGGAGCCACCAGCAGCCGGAGAGACGTAAGTGCATCCTCTTAAGACGGCTATAAAATTAAACCGTACGAACCGTAAACAAGACTACTTTTCTTCACAAGATATATCAAATTAAAATAATAGTCTCTAACTCTTTTTTACGGTTCCTACTTTGGAACTCCTATCGAAAAACCAAGTGTATAAAGAAAGCTGAGTCATTTTTTTTTTCAAGTGCTAACAATATTTAAATAGACCTTATGATGCAAACATTTTATAAACAGGTGATTCATCATTTGTATGTCGGCTTTGCATAGTGTTTGCAAGGTCAACAGGTATTTAGATATCTATTGTTATCACATAAATAACTGAAAATAAACAAAGGCTTAATAACCCTAAACGTGAATTTTTTTAGTTCCTTTATAACAAGGAAACTATTATCAATCCTATTTAGTCACTTTACTTCTATACTTTCACATTTTTAATATATTTCTTAAAATATTTATTATTTGTTATTTCTGTTAAAAAAAATTATTCTTTAAAACTTCGGTTTCTGTGCGCTGAGTTTTGACGATATTTTTGTCTGCTCTTAAATGTTGGCCAAATAATTGTAATTTCGGGTCGATTTTCTTAAAAATTTTTCAAAAATGCCAGCAGAGCTGTAATCATTGATTTCACACATATTTATACAACTTTTCAGGCCGCCTGGTCACGATGCGCCCGTGCAGGGACCGCTGCCCTACGAGCCGGACGATGCGCCATGGAAAAAGACTTCCGAGTCGGGAATCCGCAAGTTGTAAGAATAATGCATTTTACCAAGGGGAGCCTTTATTCACACTAATTCATAATAAAACCTTGTCTTGCAGTTTCCGGAAACTCTTCTCGGACCCGTCGGACGGAAACAACACATTCCCGAAGCGTTCGCTGGCCACGCTCTCCAAGATGGCACTTCAAGCCACGCCCGGTTCCGTGGCCGCCTCCACAGCGGCGAAGTAAGCGCCCCTTAAGTATCCGAGTTGGCGTGCATTTCACTTTTTGTTTGTTTTCTGTTTTCTGTTTTTCCGTTTCCGTATCCGTTCGCACTGCCCCGCACCCTGCATCTTGCATCTTTACTTATTTATTGATTTATTTATTATTTGATTAACGTTTAGTTTAGGCAACTGCCTCTATCTGACCCTTTCTCTCGCCATTCACCTGCTCCGCCTGAGCTGTACATACATAATTTACACACTTGATTGCTGTGCCCTCTTAATTCTAAGTTGTTATGCGATTTTATTTACGTAATAAGCGTTTCTTCGTAACTCGTAACTCGTAACCCGTAACCCGTAAACCTTAACCGTATTGGATAATATGCAAGTGTTCCAATGAACAAGAATAAGAAATGTGCAAAGATTGCCGAGTGAGTTTTTTATGAATTTAGACAAACGGGAAAGAAAACAAAAGTGACAAATGAAAGCAAATGTAGGAGGACTCCGGTTCTGGGACCCCAGATTTTAGAGAGTGCACGAAGAATGAGAAGGTTTTGCTTCAATTATCCGTAGTCTAACTATCCCCGATCCCCACTCTATCTCTCTTGAACCCGGCTAGCACTATCCCAATTGAATATACATCTGTCGGAAGGTATTCAAGCATTCTCATAGCAGTTGCCCCATGCGGCCTTATATATATATTACAAATTTATCAATTAACGCAAACTTTAGAAAGAGAAAATCAAAACAAAAAAAAACGGTAAATATATAATTGATATATAATTAGCAAACGTTACAAACTTAGCGCATTGTTTGTTGAATTGAATTAAACTAACTAAAACGAAGCCAAACTAAGCATGTTAGATTCCATTGATCGCATTAGAGTGCACAAAGATGCCAAAAAACGAAAATCTCCAAGTAATCCGATCGTCGACCAGTCTAAATCGAATGTTTTTACCAACTAGCTTTACCATATACTTGGCTTGATCAGCTTTCTCCAGTTGTTTTAAAACCAGTGTGAACCAAAATCGTAATCCAATATACTTCAAAGCCCAGTGCTTTCAGTCGAATGGATGTTTTGTCCCTAGAGCAGTCTTTTATTCTAATTCATTATAAACCAATATATAGCTTGTGCCGAAACAAGTTTAAAATATAATTTGTGTTAATTGCCACAATGGCGCTACATGTTTTTAGAAAATTCGGCAAAAAACTTAAAATTTCAAAATGAGATGACTTCTTTCATGTTCGAGGTTCAATCTCCGCTTGACTTACTACTTAACTCTCTGTTCCCCTTGCACTCACAAAGCTCAAAGCGAGGAAACTCCAGTTACATATCAGCTTTATCGATAGCATCGATTTAAATGTGCCAAAGACTAATTGTTCGTATCTATTAACCCGACCCTCAACCTATCCATTCCCCTGCACCCCATCTCAAACAATCTATGTATCTCGTTTCAATTACAACAAATTGTGGCAACTGAACTTTTATAAATTTGAGCGTAGCTGTTTCGATGTGACATTGGACTAACAAAAGAATATTGAGATCGTTAGAATGAAGACCACTAAGCAAAAGAGGATGGTGGAGATGGAGAGACATTGTATTTGAGTATTTGGTGAATTAATGTTAACTAAATTTATATACACATATACACATGCATTATACATAATATACTTTACTATATACTATGTAATACTTTATTATACGGAACTATGACTAACCAAAAAGACAACAACAAGGCAACAATTATACAAAATTAAATGCGTACCAGGGTGTCACTAGGAGCAAATCGGGAGCAACCGGACCACGCTTGAGGATCGGAGTGAAGCGGAGATGGCAACGACTCCACATCTGCTCGACCTTCGACCCCTGTACCTACATACATACATTTTATGAGTGGCTCAGCGTGAGCTACCGTCAAGAATAAAAATTTTAAACCATTGACATCGATTTGGATTGAATGATTTACTCTATGTTGGAGTTAAGTGGACAATAACGTTTACAAGGATTTCAAGGTGCTTATGTTATATCTTTCAACAACATTTTTAAGGCTTAGTTTTAATTTGGTTTATTGTTTTTATTTGGCATCAAAATCCTTCAGAAAACTCAAGAAAAAAAGATGACCGCTACCAGCCAAGAATTATTTACAAGCAGGAAGTGTCAAGAATTAAAGTCCAGAGAGATAAAAACCATTGAAATCGACTTG